AACAAGTGCATCGCTTCTAGGAGCAAGTGCCTTACTAGTAGTAACAAAGCGAAGTGTTGGCTGTGTCGGGTGCCATGAACGAGTTGTGGATCCATGACCCGAAGTCGGTGGGGAGTCAATTGGTCGATGACCGGTTTTGGTGAACAAGCGAGTCACGACCGTTTTAGCTGAGTGGTTGATCAAAAGTGCAGGGCAGGGCCGGGGTCTTCTTTGCCGCGGTAGATTGGCAGGTCTTCTTTGCGTCTTTGATAAGGAGACCCCGGTTCTTAGACATCGATTCGGAATTGCGCCAAGTGTCAAATCCATCATCTATGCATGTGCCTCTCATGAAGGGCAGAAAGCTCTTCTGCAAGTAGAAGAGTTGTTTTGCACTGGCCGGGGGGTGTCTCTTCACTCCTGGAATGTTTGAGAACATCAAAGGCTGGTGAATTACGCATCTCGTAAATATGTCGGTTCCTAAAACGGCTTCTTCTTCATCTAGTTTGGGTTGCTACACAGATAACAGAGAGATGCCCTGTTCGTTTCAACGACGAATACATCTTCGACAGTCAGCTGAATCGGTCACACCTTCCGCCGTGCCTCACGTAGTCCTCGCGTCCCACGCGTCCCACGTTCCGAGGTCACTTGGGGAGCAGTCGGGAGGCCAAGTCTAGCCGTGCACGCGGCAGGCGCGCTCTTCTCAAATAAAATGGCCAGGGTGGGGGGGAACTTGCACAGCCTGTTGCAACAACCTGCACGTCAACGACTCACACGGTTGGGTCATTTGACACAGATGGTGAGAAATGTCCCAGCTTTGTGAGCCATGTGACTGCCGATGGCTGCGATAGTTGTTTTTGGGGGGTTCTTGCAGAGCACTGCGAGTCCACAACGCTGAGGTGAGCCGTCCCATTGCTTGCACCGTCCTGGCCACCGAGTGCTGCTCGGAGCTTCCGGAAACAGAAAGCTTGCTGGACCGGTTGGATGGCTCGTGTGCACCAAGAAAGCCACCAATTGACCGTCCCACAACCCTGTTTCATATCAGGTTAAGATCTACTTTGCTATAGCTCAGTGATGGTCTGTCCATTTGGCTCCTTCAGACTGAAGAGCATTCTTTGTCCACTTCGCTGAGGGCTTTGATTCCGGCCTTGTTTTTCGATGCTTCAACAAAAATGCAAGCCCAAACCCCTCAACAAAGTATTTCACTGTTCGCGAAATCCACCGAGGATTGGACGTTGTGTTGCTGAAACCAAAAGGCTGACAACAAACATGTTGATGGTGAGCACATCCTCCACCGGTTTTGCAGTGATCGCAGGTTTGATTATCTCAATTGTCAACGATGGCGTGGTTCAGGGCGATGGTCGAGCAGGCGCAGTGGAGCGATGTTGTGTTCAAAGACGGCACCAAACACCAAACACCAAGGGTTTGCATGTTTAGATTTTTGCTATACACGCACGTGATAGATTTGCTGTTCGGCAACTCGTTGTTTTTGATCAAACCTCTATAGGGCTCATAGACTACCCTTACTATGATAGTTTGACGGACACTTGGCGGCGTTTTGGAAGGAGCATGAGGGCGAGTTTTGGGATTTTGGTTTGACGATACGGGCATTTATCCACAACTTGCTACACAACCACACCATAAGTTATGATGAATTAAGAATGGCTACGGACTATGAATGTTCTACACTGCACATTGTGTATGACGAGTGTTATGTTGAACCAATCTTCCTTGCTGTTCCGTGTCGCTTCATCCTTGTGGATCACGGGAGTGCGCAGGCGGAGTGCGTTTCGGCTGCAACCTGTTTTCGCTGTGCAAACGCTACATCGTCCTCTTGGCCTACCACGCATGGTCACTCGGCCTGGTCAACGAAGGACGCGACGGTCCGTTTACAACTGCCCTGGTCGCCAGGAGCTGAAGGAGCACTTTGGGATAGGGAGATAGCTGAGATAAGCCAAAACAAAGCAGAGGAGGTGTCTTCAATTCGATTTGACCCAGAGTTTTACCGTCCATGTTCACCCTCACAGCGGGAGAGATCAAATCACGCTACAAATCACGTTAAACACCCCCCCCGGAGCTCGCAGGTGATGAACTTTCCCCGTCAAAATAGATGGTTCGCCCAGACAACCGTCGACCCCTCTGCACCGTCTCTTCTGAGGCATGGGCAGCGCCTGACCTTGGCCCTGTCCTTTTGCTTTGTTAGCCGCCTGGTAAGCTTCAGCGAGAGCATTTGTTCCGTTTCCACGGAAAACCCCGAAAGATAGAATTCAGTGAATCACTCGAAAAAGGATCGAGGCTTACTGTAGTAGAGTGTCGAATGCATGTTTGATCCCAGATGTTGCCCTCCAGCTCTAAAAGCCACACAGCATCTCCGGTTGTGTTGTGGTCGAGTTGTGGCCCACCGTGCAATTGCGATTGGGGTGTTTTCGGAGGTCAAACTCAGAACCAGCCATGACAGATTTTGGAGAGGTTGTTTGATAAAGCAGTTGGATACTGCAACAAAAGAACTGCTATGTACGCAGCACAGTGGCATTTACCAATGAATATGAATCATTCCTGTCGATGAGTCTGTTCAACGTCTTCTAATTGGCTATGGGGACACTGACTCAACCAGTTGCGTGTCCCCATTGAACCCCATTGAAACGGTACTTTTCACCACCACTCTGGACCGAACAAGCCATTCATCGAAGGGATTCGATTGCTTGGGCGTCCCTGGGAAGTTGACGTGTCTTCTGCCGACTGGAAGGAATTCGCAGGTTGGACTGCTCGAATGCGGGAGTAGATCCATTGGGGTACTATATGTAAGTAATTTGATACTTGACACTAGTAGTAATGCCAGGAGTTACTAGTAGCTTCTTGCTACTAGTAGCGATGGCCTCCAACCTACTTGCGATGGCCTCCACCTAGTAGCTTCTAGTTACGAGTAGCATTCTTGCTCCTAGTAGTAAGGCCAGGAGCCCCTAGTAGCGTCCTTGCTCCTAATAGCGATGCCAGGATCCCCTACTAGCGTCCCTTGTTACTAGTAGTAAGGCCAGATACTTTCATTTGGGTGGCCCCGGAGTTGGTCGAGACCGCTCGCCAACGACACCAAGTTCTTGCGATCCATTCCTTGGTTCGCTTGCAGCTGGCCAAGCAGAACGACTGAGCGAAAGAGGTGGAAAGTTGGGGATTTATTGAAGGCGCAGCCAGGGGGGTGGAATCAACGAGCATGCTATATACATGATGCAGAAGCAAAAAGCTACTAGTAACAAGTGCATCGCTTCTAGTAACAAGTGCCTTACTAGTAGTAACAAGAAGCTAGTAGAAACAATAAGCTACTAGTTTGCAAAAGGACATGTACATGTTGGATTATGTATGTCCCTGGGTCGGCATGATGTTCACTTCAGAAGTGAGAACGAGCACCGGGTGAAACACCCAGCCTTTTGGGTACCCCAACCAATCCATGAGTCCCTTTAGCCCACTGCGGACTTTTGGTGGAATCTGAAAGTTCACAGAAAAAGAGGAAAAGCGAAGCACGCAGCCGCAGGTTACTTACTCTATGAACTATTCTTCGTTTTGTGGTTCAACCTGCTTTACACCTCTAATTATCAGCTGGACAAAGTCTGCCAGCCAAGTGGAGGCTGCTGAGCTTGGGTTAGAAGATCTCCTTCACGACATCCTGTTGCTCAAGCGTTGGTGTAGAGAATGTACACAAGCGCTATGTGATTTGCTCAGTTTGCTCAAGCTCAGCAAGCGTGCCTGTGTTTCGGAAGTTTCAAGATCGGGTATTTGGCCGAAAAGGACGATGTCGAAAGGAACGATGTGATAGCGAGGTCGGCCTGCAAACTTCCCGAAGCGCACGAACGTAACCGCGGGGGCAAGTTCTGCCAACCACGCTTTTCCAGAAGGTTAAACCGTGATTGGTATAGCTTTATGATAATGGATTCTAAGAATTCACGAGAAGATATATAACAAAACCCAGAAACACGGGACAAAAACGATGTGAGGTGAGTGAGCGAGCGAACCCCAACCCTAAACCCTAGCCCAAACATTAGTCTTAAAAAATAAGCAACCTGCTGCGTCTGGAAGAGAACTACGTGGACGAGAACCTCAACCGTCAGGACCTCAGACACTATTTCTACTGTAACTCATCCTTTTCACATGCGCAATTCTTCGCAGGCACAGTCCACCGCAGTCAAAAACAAGCAGGACTTGCCGCTGCAGCCCGCTGTCCCATCCCTTTTTTGTGCGTTGTTCCGGTTTCTGCAACGGATGATACAACATGGCGAAGCGACGACCAAACGACCTATCGTACTGATGAACCTGCCGTACGGACGCACCTACATCCACAACCTCCTTCGACTTCAGGCAATCTAGACCTCGACATGGCCCAGCTGCTGGTAGGAATCGTTGCGTGCGTGGAGCCCTTGGGCGGTGGTGAGGCGTGAGCATCAGAGCCGAAAGCTTTGATAAGGATGATGTTGTGCAGCTTGGCTCGGAACACCGCCGGAAGAAGTTGCTCAAATATAGGGCTCGCTCTCAGCGCCGGCTTGAGGCCGATGCGGCCGGCTGAAATTCCAAGCTTTGCGCAAAGTGATATGCCCAGCTTGCGTGGTTTGGCGCTCAAAAGCAGGAATAGGCCTTTGAAATGTAGAGCTAGGCGGGGCTATGGAAGCGACGCGGATGTTTTGAGTTTGGATGCTCGCCGTGTGGGCCAGTTTTTGACAGTAACTGCGTGCTCACACTTGCGGTTGACGCCCGGTCATGCCCACTGCGATCTAGCACTTGCGACTGAGGCCCGCTGGTGCCCACTGCGATTTAGCACGCGCGGTTGAGGAGGACGCGGAGGAGGACCCGGACATCTCTGATAAAATCTAACAACCCTCACCTGGCAGGTCGGGAACAACCAAAAAGCGGACACATCTGCTCTTTGAGTTTTGTGCTTTGCAGCTTTAAGAGTTTAATTGGCAAAGTGGTAGGAGACTTTGATCCTCACCGGCCCTTCCGATAAAAAGGGTTCTAGTCACGCTCGCTTGGACACACGCCATCTGAGTCAGATTCCATGTTGCGGGACAGGTGCAACGTCCGTTGACCTCCAAGTTGGCACCAGGAAAAAAACCCGGAAGTCTTGGATTCGAGGACACAGCAGGTGCTTCAATTACCCACGGCTGCCTCACAGAAGATGGATCTAGCGCACAAAGCCGTTGTAAAGAATTCAATGTCGTTATGTTATGAGTCTGCCCATACACCAATCTTGTTCCCCAAGCGCCTTTTGAAAAGGGGACTGGGTGATGTTTTCGACGTCGCGTCCATAAACCAGTGAGCACAGTTTATGAGATCCGCGCTGCCTAAGTTTGAGCCATGGTCTTTTGGGCCCTGGCCATTTTGGCCTTGTTTTTCCCGGCTGTTGGGCAGTTGGTGAACATCACCTTCGTGCAACTTGGATCTGGCCGAGCATCTGTTCAAAACGGGCCAAGCCATGGCGGGGAAGATGGTGCGTCTATGGAAACAAGTGGGGTGAGGCGGGTGAGATGGTGTGAAGAAAGCCAAGCACGTCATCAGAACCAGCCTTTTTGTCCGTTTCAAGATGCTACAAAATCCGATTGGCATCTCCACATTGGTTCGTACATCAGGTATCTTTGGGATGACAACCTCCAAAATTATTGGAGCCCCTAGAAGTTCTTGAAGGCCTCCTAAAAAGTCCTTGTGGTGAAGTGAGGTATGGCTGTTGACCCAGATCCAGGTCCAAGATCCTCAAAATAACCGTGTTTATCTTCCTTTAATGCGGTCAGTGTTGCCTAGCACGAGGAATGACCTCAAAGCCGTGGATTGCAGTTTGCTGTGGCATGGTCCAATCGACTCTGGCCCTCGAGCCGACTTCGGACCTGTCCCTGCTCAAGGTGAGGGCGGAAAAGGGCAAACTTTGCAATTTTTTGCGCACAAATTCATACATTTTTCAAATGGTGCAAAAATGTTCAGAAAAACCAATCACAGCTGCTGGCCATGTTTCTTCCAGCCAGCTGAGTATAATGCAGAAAAATGTGTGTCCAAGAGAAACTACTCCATGTAACTCCAAGCATCCTTTCTCCCCTCAGCTCGCCGTGTTGCAAAAGCAGGTGGTCAGAAGGTCTTGGAGGTCGTGGTCGGGCACCGTTTTTCCGTGACCCGCGCGGGGTCGCTGGAGCCTTGGCAGTGGGCGAACAAAGGGTCCTGACGGGCCACCAACAAAGCAAAACTGCACAAGCCGTCTATTGGCATGTTCTTATTTTTTGCTAGGAAGAAGAAGCTACTAGGGGCTCCTGGCCTTACTACTAGGAACAAGGATGCTCCTAGGGGCTCCTGGCCTTACTACTAGGAACAAGAAGCTACTAGTAGCTCCTGGCATCGCTGCCAGGCTAGGACCCCAAAAACCTCTACTAGTGACAAGAGGCTACTAGTAGCAAAGGGCATCGCTACTAGGAGCAAGGACGCTAGTTTCTTCTATTTAGCTTATGTATATAGACGCTTCTTTCTACGTGGTTTCAATGTGCTTCAGATTCTGCGAGGAACCCTTGTTGCAGTTTGACATTACCAGTGACGTGCATCACTACTCCATCAACGAATCCATCGCCGTGGGTCGTCCAGTGCCGGATCCAGACTCGGCGGAGCCATCGTCGTGCGCGGCCGACTGCCGTTCGGCTGCCAGCTGCGACCAGTGCGTGCAACTGACGGGGTGCGGCTGGAGTGTGGTGCGGCAGCAGTGCTTCCCAGGTCGGCAGTGGCGCTAAGTTGCTCATTTGGAAAGGTTGCTGCCTGGAAAGGTGACTAGATTTCAGCCTACAGTTTTGTTGGATGGCAGTAACAAACCAGATAGGAAAGCGACCCAGCCACATACATACCCCTTGCGTACCACTTCACAATCAGTTGTTTCAAACGTTTTCCATTTGCTGGTTGGTTCTTGCAATAAAACTATAAGTTGGAGGCCATTGCTTCTAGGTTGAACAAACAGTGATGATATGAGAAAAAATAAACAATAGCGATAGCAGTCGGTAACAAGAAGCTACTAGGGGCTCCTGGCATCGCTACTGGGAGCAAGGACACTACTAGGGACTCCTGGTCTTATTACTAGGAACAAGAACGCTATTAGAAACAAGAATTTCAATTTGTATAATTAGAATGGAAACATGATCTACCGTGTTGGCTGCCGGCTCCGGTCGCAGGCCACCCGTTCGCCACGGAGAACTCCGAGTGTCCAGAGACGAAGTCGGGGACGCTGCAAACGTGGCTAGAGGAGGCTGCGACGCTGATGGACCCCGAGGCCCAGGGTTTGGAATTCAACCTGACCCAATGATGGAATCAATCAGCGAATTGAATCACAAAAATTCAGCCTGAAGGATTGAATCAGGACACCCTTTAGGATTTGCTTGAGGATTACCTGGGGTGAAACCATGTTTAGGTCACTGAAACTAGCAAGTTTGTGCATTGTCAGGCGGTTGGCACTGTTGATGATTTCCGAAGAGACAGTGTGTATGGAAAGACCTTGCAGTTGGTGACTTGGGTATTAACCAGGCTAACGCCTGGCAGCCGCCGACCCCCAGGGAAGTGGATGGCCTAGGTTTAATGGGTTAAGAGTTTTTTCGAAAAATCGGGGGAAAAAACCCTCGCAAAAGGCATGAAAGGCATGAGTAAAGCTTAGAAAAACCTTCGAAAATCCTAGAAATCCAGCGGAAAACGTTTGCAAATGGAGGAAAATGGGTTAGCATTTTTCTTTGCAAATCTGGGAACCCAAAAAACAACACGGAGCCTTTACAAGTACCTGAGAAACCAGAGGAAATGCTGGAAAACACCCTCGCAAAAGGTCTGAAAGGAATGAGTAAATCTTACAAATACCTTTGAAAATCCTAGAAATCCAGCGGAAAACGTTGCAAAATCTGAGAAAAACCAAGGGCACTGGCAGGGACCAGGCCGCGACCAGCCCGGGATTCGAGCCCGGGACCATTTAGGGACCGTGCTTATTTTCCCGCGCGGGTGGAGAGGGTGCCCCAATCCCCAGTAAGAAGCAAACCAATACATTTGGCAAAATTTTGCACAAATCTCGGGACCTTTTCGTCACTGCAACAAGGCTCCGGATGGGTAGGGGAGGTATAGCCTTAGCCTTAGCCTTAGCCTGGCCTTAGCCTTAATCATAGCCTTAGCCTTCATCAACAGTCACGCCTGACCCCACGAGTGGGGTCGGCGGATTCAAGAAAGCTGTCAAGTGAAGACGCCTTGCACCACCTCAGACTTCAAGGGCATCCCACGATGTAGTCGAGACTCCTGCCATCAACGTTTCTTTGGAAGTGTTTGCCGACCGTCATACCTCTCCCTCCATGTTTAACGGAATGTTTAACCCTGGAAGGCATCGGGCTTTGGCTCTGCCTCCTTGCGGGCCGCCTACCGCGCACTGCAACATGCGAATCTTCAAGCTTCGAGCGAAGGTGCTGATCCAGTGGTGCCGACCATGGACGTGCCGTCCTCTGTGACTCGCAAAGTTTTTGGTCGTTCCGCGATGCGTTTCTCTTGTTTGGAAGCAGCCACAGCATTAAATCTGGAAAACAGATTGGTCGAGCCAATGGAAATATTGCATTGAAACCGTGTGGGAGATCTTCCTTTGAGATTGGTGGCTTAGGATTCTGCAACATGGCCATGTGTATACTGTATGCCCATTTGAGTGAATCCAACCCAATCGTCCCTCCGGGCCAGAACTATGGACTTAGGGAGCCTCAGTCGTTTTTGTTCACGTGTTCTTTCACCACCATGGTTGATGATGTCTCCTGGATTCTGCTCATGTTTCTCAAGAATGGCCTCAAAAGATGTTATTCTCATTCAAACCCGGTGCTTAAGCAAGGACGCTACTAGGAGCAAAGGGCATCGCTACTAGGAACAAGAAGCTACTAGGGGCTCCTGGCCATACTACTAAGAACAATGTTTGCTATTAGAAACAAGAATTGGAACTTACTTGAAAACCGGTGCTTTAGCATCGAGTCCATGTGCTCCATGCTCGGAAAACAAGTGATCAACCAACGAACCCCATCGACCGCAGTGAACCGGTGAACCGCTGAGGTGTTCATGGCGGAGCTGGCGGCCAAGTTGGACGCCGTCTTCGACGACGCGGATGCTACAGAGTTGCTGGCGAAGTCGCGCCATGAGACGCTGAGACTTTTGACCGTTTGAAGAACCTAGAAGCGATTGCCTCCAACCTAATACCGACGTGGCAGGCGCAGCACTTTGTAGATTTCGTGGCAGGCGCAGCACTCTCGAAGTCCAGAATTCCTGGCAGGTGCAGCACTTTGTGAACCTGGAAGTCCAGAAATCCTGGCAGGTGCAGCGCTTTGTGAACCTGGAAGTGCAGATTTAGTGGCAGGCACAGCACTTTGTGAACCTGGAAGTGCAGATTTAGTGTCAGGCACAGCACTTTGTGAACCTCGAAGTGCAGATTTGGTGGGCAGGCGCAGGTTTCGTGGCAGGCGCCCTATACCGTTTTGTTGACTTCTTTGCGCTTCAGGGCCATCCCCCGCTTAACTGCTGCTTTGTCGAAGACGTTTCATTAGATCCTGGTTGGGAGCATCGAGGGTCTATCTTGGTGACTTCCCGTCAAGCATTGGAATGACGGTCTGTCTTTATGTGGAACCACTATGAGGAAGTATTTTCTGAGAGAGGTTCGGTGTTCGGGTGGGCGGAAGGCATGTAGATGTGTTGCATGGATTTCGGTGGTTTTTTAAATATTTGTGATTCTGCTAATCCAGCCCAGGATCAAGACCCATCGAAAGGTGACGATGGTGAAACGTTGCAAACTCTCCGATGCGCTGCCCTACATCTCCCGTGGAGAGCCCGTGGTTATCACCGACTTTTTCCGTGATGATCCTGAAACGCATCCAGTGCCACACAAATGGACCTTGGAGTACCTTCGCTTGGCCAGGGAACAATAGTCTTTAAGCAAACTGGATAGATGTTCACACCCCTTCCCCCCAACTGACATGTTTGGTCCCCCATACAAGGTGGTTGATCAGCAAAACAACAGCGATGCCAAAAAGAATGAATTAGGAGAAACGAAGAAATAGCGTTTGAAGGTCAAAACGGCAAAGGAAACAAATGAAGGAACAGGAACTCTCAATTTTCAAGGGCTAAAAGAAATTCAAGAGAAAGAAAACAACACAAATAAGTATTGTTTGGAACTGCACCCAGTAAGGTACTTGAAGCGCTTCATGCATCGAGGTTTCTACAATGTGGCAGCAGACTTCAAAAGTGTTTGCTGCCAGTACTATGAGCCACGGAACATCTCGGCACAGGTGCTTCACTCGTTGAATTCATAACATCTTTATTCGATCTTTTTTGTTGAAGAGATCCGTAAAATACATACCACAATGTGATCCCCGTTCGCACATGCCCTGAGAACTGTTTCTGTATGTTTTGCCTTGGCCTCAAGTGAGGCTGGATACCCATATCCCTTCAACCCTCGCACACATCTCTACCGCGACCGCTTCAGCGGCTTTGTCGACACGTTGCGGGCCAAGCGAACCAGCGACCAGAAGGAGCCGATGTTGCACTACTTTCATGACGTCGTCATGGAGCGTGATGGGAAGCCCGTGGAGCCTAGGCCAAATACGAACGTGGTTCGTAAAGAAAGTGATATGGGCACTCTTTGCCTGTGGTGCGTAGATTCTCATAGTGCTCTTTAAGAGCCGCCGTGTATATCTTGACAGCAGTCCACCGGAATGGTTTCTACCACCGCTTGGAATACATCTCTTTGGCAATCGTGTCTAGTCTAGTTGTAATTTCTTTGGCGAGTTTCACCAATGTTGTTCAGCTCCTTCTCATCAGCCTTGTTGCTTTCACGACACTTCTGGCTACCAATGAGGTCGTGGGAAATGAATCTGAGTGTCGAGAAACTATTTGCCACCTAGGGGGCTATGCCACCAAAAGAGCACTTGGATATTCTATAGTGTGCACCATTTGCTTTGTCAACTCACAGGCTAGAATGCCACAAAGCCAGCCAGCCAGTCGGAGCCTTCGTTTGTTCTTCCAAGGTCGCCGGCCAGGCGGCGCCGCCGCCACTGGACGCGGACCTGGCGGCCACTCTGGCTGCGCTGCGGCCGCTGGCGCAGCGGCAGGCGTTCTTCGCGGGCGTGGCAAACGCCAAGCTTTGGATCGGCCAGCGCGGAGTGACACTGGGGTGATCAACGGTGTGTCTTTTCATTGTTGGAGGCTTCAGCTGTTTCTGGGGCAAAAGACTGGGAGGCCGGGAACCTGTCTTTTTTTGCTTCCGCAGAGTCAGGACGATGCCGCTACACTACGACTCAGCAGACAACCTCTACATTATGGCATGGGGAAGAAAGCGAGTGACCCTGGCAGAGCCCGGACAACTGCGAGCACTGTACCCTTGGCCAAGATAAGAAGAACAATGAAAACGAGCAACATGCTAAGATACTCTTCGCAGATGTTCACAAGGTTCGTTGGTCACGCAACTTGGTCGGAACTGCCGGATAGAACCCCTTGTGACACTTGTGGTTCCACGACGTGTCGCATTTCAGGTATCCGTTTCCCAATGGCCACCCTCACGCCGGCAGCTCGCAAGTGAACATCTCTCACCCCGATTGGTCGAAGCATCCGGGCTTCGTGGACGCCACGCTCTGGGAGACGGTCATCGGCCCGGGCGGCGTCTTCTTCCTCCCAGGCGAGGGCGGACGCGCGGGGAAAGGTGACCAAAGCGTCTGTTCACTAGTCTGTTCACTGTGAACAGGTTGAAGGACCACATCACTATTTGTGTCTGAACACGATCATACAAGAGAAATGGTGTTGTCCAACTGATGCTTTTTTTGCATGGATTGCCCGGCAAAACGAGGATTGGAGCTGAGAGTCCGGAAGGGACCGAAACCTCACAGATGTGTTTCCTGCAGATGTTGAGCTTTTCATGACCCACTCAGACTGCACAGGTCACTGGTGGCATCAGTTCGAACAACCCTTTGAGGACACTGCCTCCTTGAAACATGGCACTGCTGAGCAGATCATGTGTCTTTTTCTTGTTTGTTTTATTTCCACCGCTCCATACTGAAATGGGTGTTGCCGGAGTTTTGCCGGTAAATGGGAGTCTGAAAATCCTTTCGTGAACCAAAGGGGATGCGTTTCGTCGTGAAACGATGCATTGGGTTCATGTCGGCAGCCAAGGAATCTTTGGTCCTACGAATCGCCCCAAGCCCCGCCGCCTGACACGAAAAGTGAGATGTGGGGTTGGGCACTAGGAGCAAGGATGCTACTAGGGGCTCCTGGCCGTACTATGAACGGAGCAAGAAGCTATTAGGGGCTCCTGGCATCGCTACTCCCGAAACTTGCGCATGTCCTGACGCTTCCCAAGATCCTTCCCTGTTGTAGGGGGTATCCGGGAGTGCGGTGAGAATCAAATGTCGTGTAAATACAAAAGATGCACTGTACATGGGTCATCTACGTGAAAACGAATGTCCGCGCAGCATAAATTCCTAATTTGGTGCCGGTGGGATTGGCACCGTATCGAGATCTCCCTTGCGATGCCAACATTGCCGAAGATATCTTCGGTATAAGAAGCGTTGTTCGAAGGTGAGTGGCACAGCATCAATCACCTGGCTGGCATCGCTACTAGGAGCAAGGACGCTACTAGGGGCTCCTGGCCTTACTACTAGGAACAAGGATGCTACTAGGATTTCTTTCTCTATCGGGACCACTATGTTCCGAAATGACTCTCCTTTGTTCGCCCAGTTTCACCTTTCCAGGCCTATCCCCGTCCGGGACGAACGCATGCGCCTGAATGCGTTGCATGACTACATGGAGAAACAAATCAGCAGCATCTTTAAGAACAAGGCAGGCATGACCCTGGCATCCTTGGCGGCCGGACGAGGCGCGGAACTCGATTCCTTTGAGCAAGATTCTTGTTACGTTCGTAGTAAGAATGCTCCTAGTAGCGATGCCAGGAGCCCTAGTAGCATCCTTGCTCCTAGTAGTAAGGCCGGAGCCCCTAGTAGCTTCTTGCTACTAGTAGTAATGGCCTCCAACCTAATAGCGATGGCCTCCACCGTTTGGTTCCTGAATAGCATGTGCTGTTTGGTTCCTGGGTGTTTTCGTAATCGTCTTTCCCTGTTGCCATATAATAGTGTGCTTCTCGTGAAAGTCGCCGGACAGGCGGGAAGAAGCGGTTGACGCAGGCCCGAGATGGCGAAAAAGGGTGTTCTGAATTGCTTGGCAGTCACGCAGGTTTTTGTTGAAAACGGCCTCCAAAGGTTGAGAACTGTTAGGGTAGAAGCACAGGCAGAAACTACTACTAAAACTACTAGGAGCTCCTGTCATCGCTACTGGGGTGCTCCTGGCCTTACTATGAGTAGCAAGAAGCTACTAGGAGCTCCTGGCATCGCTACTAGTAAAAAAGGGCATTACTACTAGTAGTATTCTTGCTACTAGTAACAAGAGCGCTACTAGTAACAAGGGCATTTCTAGTAGCAATTTACGACATAGGCACCGTCACAAAGGGCATTACAATGTCGTTCACCGGGCGCCCCGCTTGAGGCCAACGAGACGCTGCACCAGGCCGTGGAGACCTGGCGGAAGTGGATGCTCACGCTGCCCAACGCAGGCACTCCGCTGCCGAGTGCCGAGGCGCCACAGGGACAGTAGCTTGTTACTACTAGCTTCTTGTTCCTAGTAGTAAGGCACTTGTTACTAGTAGCGATGCCCTTTGCTCCTAGTAGTTTCTTGTTACTAACTAGAAGCAAGAATGCTCCGTTCGTAGCGATGCCAGGAGCCCCTAGTAGCATCCTTGCTCCTAGTAGCGATGCCCTTTGCTCCTAGTAGCTTGTTGTTACTAGTAGCTTCCGAGTGGCGAGGCGCTGGTCCAGGAGTTTCTGGAGCTGCGCCACAAGCACGTCATGAAGGACTGCCAACAGAGAAGGCTCTTAGGAGCAAGGATGCTACTAGGGGCTCCTGGCTTTACTACTAGGAACAGGGACTCGCTTCTGGAGGACGCCGAAAGGGTCCGGTCGGTCTCCCAGTGAAACGATTCTCAAGGAAGCTTCTTTGGACTCATGAGTCCCCTGCATGCAGTTGTTCCGAGCTTTAGATTTGGAACTGGGAATGGGAGAATCCTATAGTGAGTATGCTGTATGCCGACCGACAACATCTTCCCAGCAAAAACCGCCAGATTCAAGTCTTGCTCGCTTTTCAGAACCCTTCAACACAAGAAAAGCTGATCCGAGTTCGCCGCTCTAACCCGGGTGGGACGGGACCAGGAGCGTTGGCCCGGCTGGTCGCCCGGCGTGGAGTGGAACATGTCGGCCCTGGTGGCACTGGAACCGCCCGAGCTCCGGGCCCGCTGCGTGGCTTCCACGGAGAAGACGGCCACCTATGTGGCTTGAACGCTACATTCGGAGCAAAGGGCATCGCTACTAGGAGCAAGGACGCTACGTTCGGGGCTCCTGGCCTTACTACTAGTAGCTTCTTGTTACTAGTAGCGATGCACTTGTTACTACTAGTAAACAAGCTATTAGAAACAATAAATTAAAAAAATAGAATTTTGGGGCAAAAAATGAAACTGCACAACCCAAAGGCCCGTATCAACGTCAATTTTCCGAAATGATGTTTGTCCGTGGGAAGCTGCTGTAAACTTTCTTTGTTCGACCAGTTTCTGTGTTAGTCTTTCGATATTTCTTTTGAAATGAAGTCCTGTTTGATGGAAACTCGTGTGTATGTCGGATACGGATACGAAAGCTGTTGCTTTCCTCCGGTTTGATCAACAACTCAAAGGCGAGCGTTTGCAACTGGCCTGCATAGCGACATACCGATGTGCCTGGTGTCAAATGGTGTCGAACGGCTGATGGATCCAGACCTTCAAACAATGGCTGAAAGTTCGTTGCAGAAGACGATCTCTGAGACGATCCAAAACTTGAAGATTTAGCCTCCGATGGACATGGATGGCACTGCGTTGAACTTGGCTTTCGGGAGTGCCAACCTCGGGCTGAACAGCCGGCGCAAACGTGAGCAAGAGTGACAAGGGAGACACTGATAGGAACAGGGGAAGTGGAGGCGTTTCGTGCGTGGAGAAAAATGAGGACCTGAGGATTCATCACTTTTCAATGTGCCTTGAACGCTACTAGTAACAAGTGCATCGCTTCTAGTAACAAGTGCCTTACTAGTAGTAACAAGGACGCTACTAGGAACAAGAAGCTACTCAGTTGTCGGAGATGTCGATTGCTTTAGCTGCACCAGAGGTCGAGAGGTCGAAAGAATGGACCGGACATCTTTTGCGTCGATGACTGGTAATGCTCAAGCATTTGAAGCTTCGCACCCCCATCCCAAAGCTGCAGGTCACAGTCCTTGGTGCAGAGCGAATAGAACGGCACAGTCTACTTGGGGATAGAACTCCAAATGCGGCTTGGGATCTGTTGGGACTCACCCATTTCCAAACCTCGAAGCTCTGCACCACGCATGATGGGTTCTGGGGTGAGATGGACCAAGAAGGGACCCATGCCTAGATGCTCAATCCGAACACTTCCTACAGGAGGTGTCCCCGTGTGCCGGGAAAAGGGGAGCCAACCAGATCCCTGACCTGTCCCCACAACACCCCACTGAAGCCAGCCAAGCCCACTAAAGGTGGGATCCACCACACCAACAACACCTGAACCTACCAGCTGAACCTACTAGCGATGGCCTCCAACTTGCTGCAATGACCTCCAACCCAATGGCACCAATAGTCACAATTCAATACAAATAGGGGCTCCTGGCCTTACTACTAGGAGCAAGAAGCTACTAGTAACAAGTGCATCGCTTCTAGTAACAAGTGCCTTACTAGTAGTAACAAAAACGCTACTAGGGGCTCCTGGCCTTACTACTAGGAGCAAGGACGCTACGAACGGAGCTCCTGAACCTGTTTGAAAGAGGGGGCTCCATTGCACTTCTCCACAGACACTGGTGACGGTGGCCTAACCTGCGACGGCGCCATGGAGTGCCGGCCGGCTGCCGCGATCCAGATGCGCTTCAAGGCTAATGCATTTAGGTTGGAGGCCATCGCTACTAGCAACAAGAAGCTACTAGGAACAAAGGGCATCGCTACTAGGAGCAAGGACGCTACTAGGGGCGCTCCTGCCTTACTACTAGTAACAAGGACGCTACTAGGTTGGAGGCTATTGCTAGTAGGTTGGAGGCTAATGCGTGCTCGGATGCGGCGCATTGCGGGGCGAAGCGTCGCGCTTCGCCGCTTCGCGGACTAGAGGGGCAAGGCGAGTAAGAATACATTGGTTGCATTGGTCGATGGTCACATTCAAGTTGGGCATAAAAAAGCACCAGTGTGGAACTCCTTTCAAGGATCCTGTGGTTCCTCGGCGTCTATCCTCCTTGCTTTGTACACATACCGAGGGTGATCGGGTAAGGAGGGACGAGACGGTGTGTACAGTGCTCACTATGAGCAGTTTCATTTCTTGTATAGACTTCATGATGTACAGCTAGGCCTTTTGGCATTTTGTTTTGGTTTTCATGCAAAGTCCCTTTACCGGATACTTTGTCACTATCGCGCGCTACATAGTCCTTGGATCTACTTCATGCCACGCATTGGTACAGCCCATACACCCAACAGCTTCAAGAGCTACATACCACATGACCTGATGGTCACTTGGGATGCCCATCGCAGCACGTCTTCGTCGCTTGGTTCTCTTTCCGTCGTTCTTTGATTCCTGCGGGGTGGATCTCTTTGTATATACTTCATCAATTCTTTGACCGACGCGTCGTTACCTATTGGCAATCGGTGGATGATTTTTGTCTATGGCATGCTCGTGTTGGGGTTGAGCCAGAACCAACACTCCTTCTTGCGATCCGTTCGCTGGTTGCTTGAAGAGGCATGAAGCTGGTGGTTTCGGCTACTGGCGCCCTAGGGCTCTCAGTGGTTTCCATTAATTTATTTCTGACTCTGACTGTCTGTCGGTGACTCTTTGCCGTTGGCCAACGAATTCTTCTCCTTTAGATGACCTGCCGTCCTGTACGAGCAGTCCCTCTATTTGGATGGAGCGGAATTACCGTGGTTGTTCCGTTCAGACATGACCCTACTACTTCAAGGATCCTGTGGTTTTGTAGAGAGAAGCTCATTTCGGTCATGCCTCATCACCATAAAGCACACACGTACACCTAAGCCCTTGCCTACTCACGACTCCAATCTCATTGGAAGACATTCCGCAAGAAAGGGATAATGTCGAGTCTCACACAATTTTCTTTGCTTGAGCTGTCCTCATTTGAGATCATGCTGACTTGCAGGCTTTAAGCGAATTGCTGCCACAGGAGCTGTGTGGGAGACTCAGGGACTGACTGGTTAAACTCAAATTGGCACCTCCGGACCGAGAAGTTTTTCACGCCACGTCGAGCCTGTTGCAGCTTCACGAACGAAATGTCGAGGGAGTGACCAGATGTGAGAGGATGTGTCACCGTCGACGGACTTCCCCTGAATTACGGAGGCGCCTACTTTTTTGGGGGGGAGGGGCTTAGTTAGCTCCTAACTGGACGCGGGATGGCTCACGCACTGTTCATGTGGTTCCTAGATTCTTAGGGATACTTCATAAGTCTTTGTTATTAGATTAAAATGTAAGTAAATTTGAATCATTTAGTTACTAACTGTTCAATTACATTCTGCTCCAAGCTGCAACCAATGGAGCACATGTCGCTAGAGGTGGATGTCCGAGTTGTGCATGGGAAATGCTACACACTCCCCGAATAGATATTGCCCCTCCTGGGCCAATCTGAGACAAAACAGAAAGCAAAGCGAATAAACCCTTTTGGATCAACCTCAAGATTTGGGTGACGCTTCAGGTTCATCATTGATCTAAACTCTTTCTCGTAAATCATCCACATGTGTCAGAAGTTGTTCAGGTTCGACACATCAGATAGAAGTCAGATCCTAGCATCTATCAGCTCAGACAGGTAGGTCAATGTTTATTCAGGGTGTCGGCCATTCTATCACCTATCTGATTGTTCACCTTGTTCCGGGGAATGTCCGTGTCCAAGGTGATATCAGCACCTTGCAGAAGCATCCAAAGTGTCTTGACTGCGAAACTGGCGCCAATGGTTTTCTTGGAAATAACGTCACCTGGATGCCTGATGATAGGAAGCCTTTTGCTTTTATATGCTGAGACTCCCTGGTCTTGTGAGGACTACTAGTCCTAGCTACGGCCCTCACCATAGGGATAGGGTACTTGGTTACTTCGATGGCTCGCATGGAATGGAGGTTTCCGATGCTGATTGGCTGCGACCGCAAGCGCATCATCGCCATTGATAGCAGGAGCGGGGTCACCACAGTCTTGAAGCATTTGGATGTGGCTTTGTAGGTTGTTGAGAACACCAAGCCAAGCAGCTTCATACTAGGAGCAAGGACGCTACTAGGGGCTCCTGGCATCGCTACTAGGAGCAAGGGCCTTACTACTAGTAACAAGAAGCTATTAGAAACAATATATAAATAGAATTCAATTAGAATATATGAAAAAAGTGTTTTATTTGTTTCGCGGATGATTCCTGTGAACCTTGGGAACATCAGATGCAGCACTTTGCTTCTCGGCTTCTCGAGTGGACTTGGCAGATGGTGTCCTGCATGGGGAGCTCTTGAATCTGTTGTTCGTCATACCTCACCTTATAATGACAGATCACCCACAGATTGGAGTGAGTTGCAAAAGCAATCATTAGAGATCAGCAAGTGGTGATCAGTACCTAGTACTAGCTGGATGAGAGAGCTATGCAGCTATGCACTGTAGTTGCAATTGGGCTTTCAGTTCACATCAGTCCTGGCGGTTTGCTGTTGCTCTTTTGGGGACCCCAAGGAGTGGCGCTCACCAGGCTGGTGACGCTGTGGAGCAAATGGACGTGAACGACTAGCATAGAAACATGGATGGCCTATCTAAAGAGATGGGAATTTTATGTTTGTTTTTTAAATGTTGGTGTTGCTGCGATGTCCATTAACTTGTGAAATGGTATTGTGGAACTAAGGCACCGTCTTCTAGATTGTTTGGGTCGTTTTCAGCTCACCTTGTAAAGTTAGAAACTGGCTGAGATGATGGTGCCACCATGAAGAAGTGAAGAAAACTAGCTGTGCAGTATCCATCTGTGGATTCGACACCTTAGTTGGGAATCTACCTACCGTGGGGAGTGGTGACTTTGAACAATCAGAGGAACCGTGTTGACATTCGGGGTGTACTGGAGTTCTTTCAGTGACATAGATCAAGCTTTCATGTTAGCTTGCGACATGAGTGTGTGCTCAAAGGTGGACACTCGCCAATTAGGGCCAGGTTTGATCTGAATGTAAGATATTGACATCCCTGGTATTTCCTGTGTTTTCTCGTGTCAGCAGTAGGGAGTTGTGCAACGTGTTTTGATCATCAATTCAAAACTAGCTAAGCCTTTGCTTACTGCTGTTCTGCTTTCTGGGAGCTGCCAACTGTGACAGGTCTTGCACGAAAGTGAGTCACTGCTGAGAGTCTCTTCTGTGCCACTTGGGCAAGGAAGGCGGCTGTTGATTCACTTTCCGTGCTCAAAAGAGGGGTCTCTGAAAAGGGAGAGGTTGGTGGGGTAAGCTTGGACGGACGGTGTCCTAAACATCCAAGCGGGCAGAGGCATAAAGCTGGTTCGTTGATTGCTTTCACCCATTGGATGGTGGGGAAAGGGATTTCTGCAGATCACTTGCCAAGATTTGCAAAGGGAGACGTTCTCCAGTGAAAGGATCCTGAGAAGTCGAGCCCCTAGTAGCATCCTTGCTCCTAGTAGTAAGGACAGGAGCCCCTAATAGCATCCTTGCTCCTAGTACTAAGGCCAGGAGCCCCTAATAGCTTCCTGTTTGTTTGGTGGATTGAACATCTAAGGTCTCCCAAGACTGGAGACATCATCTACAGCATTTCGCTGGATCGAGGAGGAAATTTCGAGACGCCCGGCTGCATGCTCGGGGCACCGCTGGTGAATTCCAGCATCGGCGTGTGTCAGTGGTTTTCCCCGAGGAAGCGACGTCATTGTGTGTTTTCTCCAACCGGGGGGGTATCATGTATAAACCGATCACGGGGTGGGTTGGACACGAACCAGATTGGCAGCTTTGCACTTTTACCCAATTGAACAGGAGTTGTCCCAGTGTTTAGTTCTTGTCACTTATCTCACTTATCTCTTGGTGACGTGATTTTTCTCGTCTTCGCACCGGTTCTTTGTTTGCAAGGGTCAAGCCCAGTGAAGTCCCCAGACACGGAGTGCGGTCTATCCAATATAGTCCTTTCAAAGTTGACGAACATGCTGTGCATCTTTCTTTGGTTTTTGTTTTAAACAATGCGAGAAAAAGAACACTGGCAAAGCTCTAAAAGTCCTTGTCAGGAAGTGTACCATAACCATACCGTTGAGAAAGTTTAAAATTATTGCCAGCGGTAGTAGGACAAGCTTTGCTGCTCTACTGCCCGTCACCATCGGAGTCCGTCCCTTCCAATATGGGCCTCCTTGGGCACTCGGTATTGGGTACGGTATACCGGTATACCTCATCAGTGGAATAGTTGTAAATACCAGAGCACTGAGTCTTCAACTTCTAGGTCATGTGCCCTAGCTCCTTCGTCCGCCCGTTCTCAGCCCCAGGGTGGAGGAACGAGAGCCTCTCGGAGATATTTGGGACCGAACCAGCGGGGCAGGAGGTGCTGAAAGGTCTGGAGACGAGCGTCCCTTTCCCATAGGTTGTCGGGCCATCGCTAGTAGGTTGGAGGCCATCGCTAGTAGCATTTGGAAGGAAGGTGGCTATTTTGACCTACTCATCCTGTATTGCCTGCCACGACCGGTGATGTTTAGGCGCTCTTGTTTGAGACACTCAAGAATAGATGAGAGTTCCAGTACTCCCTGAAAAGGATCAGGTTCCGATCTAAGAGTCAAACGAGGCTTCACCTTACCACGGGTGATGTGGGGAAGATCGTTGCAACTCTTGTGGAGCCGTGACAAGAACAAGACCGTTTGTAGAAGACAAACCTCTTGGATTTGAACCACAGAACTACTAGGAACACGAAGCTACTAAGCTTATGTTGTGATTGTTTGGGGGCATATCGATGGACGGTACCCCTCACTTTGTTCATTTTGCAAACCTGAGGAAATCGATGGTGTTTTTTGAAGCCTGATCTGGGATAGCCTGGTTTTCGGGAAGTCAACTGGGATTGAACCGACCCAAATCTGACGCAAAATCCCGTTGAACCCGACCCAAGGTTCTACATCTTGAAGATGGAGAACGCTAATCCCGTGAACGGCTTCCCCACCACGCGCGTGCCGCCACAGCCACTCTACTTGCCCCATCCACATGAGGCGCAGCCAAGTGCATGTGCCTTTTTGGAGCGCCCATCCAGATGGTTTCCATATGGTTTCGGTCAAAGAAATTGGGAAAGAACGCCAAATGAACCAGGTCCACTGCGATATGCGTTCCATTGCTGCGAGCTTCCTGAAGAAGTCTTTTCAAGGGATATGTCTGAGGCATATGGCATACTGTCCTTCTCGCTGACATCAATGCAAGTCATCAAGCCAGTGATGAAATGTCAAGTTGGTTGAAGCCACCCTTCAAACAATCGTTTCCCCTACAGATTCCAGTTGCAGAGAGACATTCTTGGGAGCGCGGAGACCCATTCTCAAATTCTAAAAGGACACCACCGCTTGCTGCATGTGGAGATCCAGTTTTTTCTGTTTCGGTGGGTCCCCTCTGCCAGGAGCCATTCTACGGGATCCAGGCCTGAACCCCGCGACCTGGGCCAAAACGAGGTGAAGCCAAAAGAGTGTCCACCGGAGCAACACTAGAGGCTCCTTTGGGCTTGAAGCGAAACGATGCCAAAGCCAGAGATTCGTGGTTCGAATTGCCTGGCAAACTACTAGGAGCAAGAAGCTAGTAGAAACAAGTGCATCGCTACTAGTAACAAGTGCCTTACTAGTAGTAACAAGGACGTTAGTAGTAATAAGAAATACAAGTTTGAGAAAGGTTTTGTGAAGTGCAGGCTATTTGAACCCCGCCGTTGTTCGATTCTTTGTTCTGAAGGTTCGAGCTCGTAGTTCGACATGCAGGGTCCATTCATGTCGTTTTCAAATCGAAGTCAAGTCCTACTGCACACTCCCTACTTCCTACTTCCTACTCCACACGAGCGAAACGCAAATGTCGTCGCAGGTGGAGCGCATCATCGACCTGGAGAATGGTGGGCGAGTGTGCCTTGCCTTCTGCCTGGTCGACGTGGGGCACTGTTTCGGGATGAAGGATACATGGGATGGACCGGAAGGGCATGGGTTCACTGCGATGTAGATTTGGGAAACCAAGCTGTGATTGTGTTTTGGTGACGAGGACAAAGACCGAAACCACAAAGAGTACCAACACGTCCTTTTCGTTTAAAGTTCTTTTGATACTGGTGATGGGTATCAGTAGGGCGATAAAATCCAGGTGTCATCCTAACTTAAATGCAGGAAGGGAAATAGAAAGATCTAGAAGTCTAAAAGCAATAGAAAAGATATGGATGTGTGGTGTGTTGCTTCTTCTTTTTTGTTCTTATCGTTTCTGTCAAGACTTTCGATCAAACACAGGCCATGATATCCTTGTGTCCGTTTCTTTTCTTTTGCTATTAGGTTGTAGGTTGGAGGCCATCGCTCTTAGGTTCCTTAAAGTCCTTTATTCTTAAAGTGTCAGTATCCAGTGATTCTCCCACCGTGGACGCTACTAGGAGCAAGAAGCTACTAGGGGCTCCTGGCATCGCTACTAGAAACAAGGATGCTACTAGGGGCTCCTAGCCTTACTACTAGGAGCAAGAAGCTACTAGGAACAAGTGCATCGCTTCTAGTAGCAAGTGCCTTACTAGTAGTAACAAAAACGCTACTAGGGGCTCTCCTGGCCTTACCGACCGAGGTACCTGGGTGACGGAGATGGGGGCACCGGCTTTTGCCATGTTGGTCCACAAGGCGGGGCCGTTCGGAGCGGATTTTTGACCTTTCTGTCTTTTGAGTGCTTCTTGTTACTACTAGTAAGGCACTTGTTACTAGAAGCGATGCACTTGTTCCTAGTAGCTTATTGTTTCTATTTCTAGATCTTTCTGTTTGATTCCTGTCTTTGCTTCTTCTAGCTGTGAACAACTCTGTATTGTCTCCACATGTCGGAAAACGAAAAGAATTGAAAACAACTAGAAAAATACAAAATTGAAAAAAGAATGCGTGCTATATGTTTATGTGCTTTTTGTGTTTACTCTTGGTGATTTGTTGGATTCAAGAATCCGATGGTGCCCCCGCTCGGCAGGATACATCCTCGGTTGGAGCGAAGACTGTGACGACAACGGTCGGAGCCCATGGAGCGGCATCCTCTCGGACCTATAGGAGCACTTGCATCGCTAGTAGTAACATCGCTAGTAGTAACAAGTGCCTTACTAGTAGTAACAAGAAGCTAGTAGAAACAATTAAATTAAATAAGAATTTAATTGTAATTACTAGCAAAGGAATCCTCTCGGACCTATAGGAGTCTAGATAGGAGAAACAGAAGCATTTGTTTACTAGTAGCGTCCGATCGCTCCTAGTAGCGATGCCAGGAGCCCCTAGTAGCGTCCTTGCTCCTAGTAGTATGGCCAGGAGCCCTAGTAGCTTCTTGTTCCTAGTAGCTTCAAAGACCTCCTAGTAGCGTCCTTGCTACTGGTAGGAGTAGAAACAGAAGCGAAACGGATGCAGTTTGGACCAGGTGTCCAAGAAAGATCGCGATTTGGGGAGGTGGTGGTATGCCCCACTTCGCTACATTGCGGTCGCTTGTTGCTCTTTTTCTTAATTTGGCTCGAAGAACATCTCGGCGTCTCGTAGTGAGTTGAAGAGCACAGGATTTTCCAGCCACTTGGCATGTGGAGTGTGAGAAAGCTTGAAAACTCTTTGAGAAAATCCCAAGGATATGGATTGGCATTTTACGGGTATGTTTGGATTCCCGTCAGCATGACACGAACGTGAGCACCCCGCAGCCACCAGGCGATGGCTGAGGCTGCCAAAGCGAAGCCTGCCGCCGTGGCAAAGAAGCCCAGATTAGCCACTTGGAAGGAATTGAGCGAATTTACCTCCACGTATTCTGGAGAAACTGCATCTTACAGATACAAGAATGCTCAGGGAGAATGTATTTCTCTTCGTCATTTCTATTGTCTTTCCTTTCCCGTCCCTGGACCTTTTCCTTCCGTGTTTCTTTCTTTGGACCTTTAGACCTTTAGGCCCTTCATCGCTTCTAGTAACAAGTGCATCGCTTCTAGTAACAAATGCCTTACTAGTAGTAACAAGGACGCTGATAGGAACAAGAAGCTACTAGCAACCTGCAAAAGGTCGTGCTCCTTTGTCACTCCTATGCGAGCAGGGAGGGTAGCCCTGTCATGAATGAATTCAGACAGATTGAATCATATTGATTTTGGTCGAATCGAATTGACCAGGTGTTTATCAAATCCTGACTTATGCCAATCCAACAAATATGCTCGACCATGAGGACTGCATTGATGGCTGCCGCTTCGCGTTGGTCTTTCCCATCGTCGTGGCGCACTTCGCTCGCTTCGGCACCAGCGACTTGACTGTTGAACACGGTTGAACGCCCTTTGGTCTTTCAAGTCCCCCCTGGAGAAAAACAACACTACGGTGGCCTCCAACCTAATAGCGATGGCCTCCAACTGCAAGATCTATTCGGGGGTTCTTTCAAGAGCAGCCGGCTTTGTAGCATTCCCACAGCCGTTCTATCGATGGTGTTGCCAGAATTTCATCGATTTTGTGACGGCTTTTAGATGCGTTTGGATAGCAAACAACAATAGATGGACACAAATCGAACCAGTTCTGCCACACAACTCCCACGCTGGCAGTCGCCGCTGACGTTCCCTTTTCTTGTCTCAAATCTTGGCACGCAAAGTGTAATTCAGAGCCGAAGTCTCTCAAATTCATTCTCAAAGTTTGGGATCGGTGTCTTCAGAATGTGTCTTTACAGAGGATTGGACCGATCCCAGGGTGATCATGGTGTTTGGCATTGCATAAACTCCCAGCATCAAAGTTTCATGCGGTATTTTGCAAGATCAACTGCTAGCCAGGAGCTGTAGGTGAAAACCACCCTCTGTGTTTCACGATGGATGAGGCAACCTCACTGCGCTGAAACTGCTCACTCAGGACGCCCGCGCCGAGAGTCACAGGATTTCGCCAGGATCTGTCAGGAACAAGAAGCTACTAGTAGCTCCTGGCATTACTACCAGGAGCAAGGACGCTACTAATCTTCGGGAATTCCAAAAGACCTGGTTTCCAAAGGGTTCAAGAAGCCTGTAGGTTGGAGGCGCTCTTAGGTGACCTTTTCTTTAGCCCGGGCGGGGTCAGGGTTCGCTGTGTTCAAAACACGCAGAATCACCAGGAGAACGTGCTGGTGGGCGGATTCTTCGTGATCTCCGGCTACGTTTCGGCCTATACGTCCACCAAGCTGGGCGCTTTGGGTGTGGAGGAGAAGAAGGTCCGGTTTGGTAGAGAAAGGGATCTTGGTCAAGGCAGAAGAACTTTAAAGCATAAAAGAGACATCAATCAACATAAGAAAAAGGAAGAAGCAAAGAAGGCGATTTGGGACCTTTTTTATTTGGGGGCCATATATATACGTAGAGGCTCAAACACCTTTTTTTTGCCCCAAACACATCAGGTGCAGGGTCTCTAGGTTTGTGGTATGGCATGCTCCGGGCTGGTGACTTGCGCTGGACCTTTGGCGGGTCGGGTTGTGGGAGTGGTGCGCGCTGGACCTTTGGCGGAACACATATCAGAACACAAGGTGACAGAACACATTTTAGAACAAATGTCGGACATATGTCAGAACACATCAGGCCTTTTGACCCACTTGCTCGCCACGGTGACGAAAGCTTGGCCTGGGCTTGCGAGCCCTTGCGTTGATTACATGCGCCCCTTTGCTTTCCATTGCCAGAAAGAGAGCATTCAGAGTATTGAGGACAAAGCAGCCAATAAGAATCAATCCACGCGCAAGCTGCTGGTTGGACACAAGCAGCGACAGGATGAGAGAATCAGGGGCGGCAGTGGCTTGAACCAAGTGGAACACCACCTGTTGCCCAGCTCCGGTGGTATTGGGGCCCTGCGATTTAAAAATCGGAGCGGATGCACTGCCAGGGCGCGAGCAAAGCAGACCTTTCCACCTTGTATGCAGGGCCGCTCACGAACCTCCTCCGTGGCGCGCCGCTGCGTCTCAGACAGGGTAGGACGAGCGAGGTCTGGAGTAGTCTTGTTCGCGACGCTTTGTCGTGGCTTTCGCAACCGTCCGCAATCGACCGTGACCGTTCCCGGTCGGCGCGCTATGGTGTTGGCAGCAGGGGAAGCTTTTGGGGAAGGCTTTTGATGGAAGCATGAAAAACAAGGGTCGCGTGAAATAGTGTGGAAACTTAAGATGTTGAAGTGTGGATGAGGATTTTGCTGCGCAGGCGCAGGGTTTTGTGAAATCCTCAGTTGCCTTCTTTGCGACAGGGGATGCGTGGTCTGTTGGAGGAGTTAGACGTCGCTGTGACAGTGGGACTTGCGTTTCACGCTATTGCATTGAAGCAGCGCGACGTTGGTAGATGTGAGTGTGCTCGAAAACGCCGAAACCCTCGCAAACATGTGGTGTGGTGCAACTTTCGCTGAAGACATGTCATGTCGTGACCGTTCGTGGCCGGCACAATTTTTTGTGCGTGTTGGAAGTGTCGAAAATGTTCGTCAACGGCTGTCGTTTTTGAGGGGCTGGGATTGCTAAATTGCTTGGCAGGGCTGCTTCCCGCTTCACTTTTGGAGAAAATCTTGTATGAAACGCTCGGCTTTCTTGGAAGGCGTCTCGTTCGACGGTCTCGTTTTGGAGACCTACAAGAGCGCCCCACAGGAATGTCCTACGAGAGTGTCCAACAAAGAGTTTCCACAAGAGTGTTTTCGAGGAGTGTCCGACAAGAGTCTCGTACCACAAGAATGTCCTAAGAGTGTCTCGTGAGGGTGTCCCACAAGAGTAAGGGTCGCGCAACATTGTTCCACGAGAGTGTCGTAAGAGGAACTGTCAGACGAGAGTGTCCTACAAGGGCGTCTCCTACAAGAGCACTCCGCAAACAAAAATTCCTACAACAGTGTCCAACCAGAGCGCCCCACAAGAGTGTCGGACGAGAGTGTCCCACTACACTGTCCCACATAAGAGTGTCGCACAACAGCGTCCCACAAGAGTGTCTCGCACAAGAGTGTACTACAAGAATGCCCCACAAGTGTGCCCCACAAGAGCGCCCCGCAAGTTTCCCCGGAGGGTGTCTCCTACAAGAGCGTCCTACCAAGGTGCCCCGCAACAAGAGTGTCCCAGAAGAGCGTTGCACAAGAGCGTCTCTTACAGGAGTGATCCACAAGAGTGTCAAACAACGTTTGGCTAGTTGTTTTCGAGTGCATGTGTACATTCGGGTTGGCCCTCAAGAGGAATGGTTAACATGCATCCTCCCATCCCACAACTTTACTGTACAGTTCGCGTCTACATCTCTCACATTTTCACGTCTTGCCTTTTCGCTCGTATCTTCGTGTCTTTTTGCGCGTTGTCAAGTTGCATTCAAGCAGACGCGGCACGGATGAGGTCCAACATGAAGGCAAAGAGGGCGGGCCGGAAGGCCTCAAAGGCCTTCCGCGGGCTGCCCTTCAGCGAGCAGCAAGACCTGCTGCGCCAAACCCCGCTCTACACCTTCGCGTATTTCCATTGAATCATTTGCTTATTGAAACAATAGTTCTTGCTTCCCGGGTCACATGTGCCAAGACGAAAGGGTATTTCAACGCCATAAGAAAATCCGGGGATGGCAACAAGTTTGAAACGCCGCGCCGCTGTTGCTCCCACAGCCTCACGACAGCGTACGAGGGACACCACACATTTTGAAGAAACACACGTTGTCGGTATAGCGTTTGTATATATATATATATATTAGACGGCGTGTTTAAAAAGCTTTGAAGCTAGTAGTTCCTGATTCCCAGGGCGCATGTTGTAAGTGATTAAAGGATGTATGTCACGAGAGGATCCGAGGACAATATGCATCAGTGTTGACATAGGGCCCGCAACAGCGCATCGGACAAGATAGCCTAGCGCGGCCAAGCCAAGTACCGACATGGGACACGAGAAGAACACAGCGCGCGAGCGAACTGTAGAAGCCAGGTTGTGTGGCCTGTGTACTTTCCTAAAACTAACCCCAACCGTAAACTGCTTGGGGAAAGAAACGGGTTAGACACCAAACGGCTCCTTGAATCCAATATTGGCGTAGCGTGTGCAATGATATTCCAGCGTGTAAACCAAATTGCTTGAGCAACGTTGCAATCACAGCCGCAGGAAAACATTCCCGGACAAGGCGGCGCGGCGTGGCCAAGCAGGAGACAAGGCCCAGTGCAGGTTGCAATTCTTCGGAATGAATCAACGGAAAGGCTTTTCTCAATCCAGGATCCAGGATCGCTTCTATGCAAGGACCAAGAGTTATGAGCCCCTCACAGCCAGAATTGTTCAGGAATAGAACAAAAGTGGCGCACGTTGATCCATACAGTTGGTGTGCCCACCTTGGCGGGCTCCATTTTTGGAACGCTCGCAAAGGACTCGCCGGAACCGACTTCACAAGCAACTTGTGGGCTGCAAAATCATTAGCTTAGTATTGGTATTGTATTACCTATAGACGCCTGACCTCAGCAGACGCAAGATCGAGAGTGATCATCACGAGTGTACAGAGTTATGTGACGCTGGCAGCACGAATGAGAGCACAACGCCAAAATGAACGATCGAACGCTACAAGACGGCGACGACCACATAGACTTTTTAAGGACGCGACGACGACGACGACGACGGCGACGACGACGACGACGACGTTCCGCGCATGATTTCTCTCGATTTCACAATTTGCGCAAATGACTTCTGGTGGTTTTGCGACCGTTTTTACGCATTGATTTCTCATCATTTCGACTGTGAACGTACATTTTTCATGTTCGAGCGACGCCTGTCAGTTCGCCGAGTATGTTGCTTGGAGCCAACAATGCTGCTTTCTGTGAAAGATCGCAAGATTGAAATTTCGCCCAAGAGACATGTGCGCTTGTCCTCGCGCATTCTTTGCTGACCGTTGTTTTGTTCATGTTCGTTCCTTTTTCAATACCTCAGCTTCGTTTGTTTCAGTGCTTTCCCTCCCTTTCTCTGGATGGACGACCAACCAAACCTCAAGGGGGTTGAGCTTTTCATACACCAGCCACTTCACAAAGAGTGCTCACGGCGTCTTCTGTGAATTTCAACTTGGCCCAATCAAAGAGTGAACGATCTGAGTCGAGCTTTGCCAAACCGCAGGAGATGTATTGCCGCGTATTTGGGCGTGATATGTGTTCTTTAACTCTTGGTGATAGCATGAAGTATTATTTTGCCGCAAGGAACATTCAGACGACGGTCTTTTGGGTGCCATCTGCGCCGAACAGCGTGGTGGAACCAAGCCGCAAAAGGACCCTGAAGGGTCTAACAGCCTAACTGGCATGGCCAGAGGGAAAAGAAGTTTTGGTAGAGCAGGAACTCCACACCCCGTATCACTATGGGCTGCCCTTCAACGTGATGGACACCCTGGAGGCAACCTCGACAAGCTTCACAGAGTGTGGCATCTGCCGACCAAGGTCTTCGAAAGGCGGGGAGGTGACGTAGCTGGAACAGCATGCAGCGTCGCAAGAGAAAATGCATGCGCAAGTGATTTGTAGTCACCATTGGTAGGTGGGGGTCACTCGATGTAAAGTATTGTTCTTCCTTTCTGTTGAACACTTAAAGCACCTCAAGCCTTTCGCAACGTGGGAGCATTTGTGAAGATGAACGTCCAACCTGCTCACGGCATCAGCAATGCTTCCCTCAGGTGGCAAATCCAGAGCTCTTCTTTTGGCAGAGGGTCATGGCCTACTATCCTCTGCACTTTGTCAGCTCTGCCATTTTTGCGCCCATGTTCATTTGGGTTACTTGGAGCTCGTGATGCGGAAGCTGTCGATTGGATGATCCCCCACTCAGTGTCTGACATGCAGTCCAAGAATGCACAAAGGACAACGCATTTTGCAATTTCACAAGTTGAATGTGCGTTGAAAAGTTTCTGGATTTTTTGTTGTGCCCTGTTGATGGGTTCGTTTTCCACCACATCAGCGAACAAAAACGCAATCTTGGTGATGGGAAAGTATCGAACTATGGAAGTTCACCTTGTGATCCATTGTTCCATGCCCGAGTTGTCCTTCGTTCCATGAAGCCCAAACCCTCAACCTTTGAACATCGTGAAGCTGCCAGATCTGAAACTTTGGCATGTCAGGAACTCTGTCAGTTTGTCATGTTTATTATCTTCCCCGTCACGCACTCGGATTGGTCCCAGGTCGAGCGCCAGTTCAACTCCTCTTGGAACATGATCGCCTTCAGAGCCATGTTGAACTTCACCATGCTCCAAGCAGCTTGAAGAAACGAACTGCCGGACGTTCTAACATTTGGTGTCAGCAATGAATCTTTCTAGACAGGGTTGCCCTAGAGCTATCCGCCTTTCAAAGAAAAGGGGCAGTTTCTACGGTTCAGGTGTGATGGAGGTTGCAGCCAGTAGAGCGGTGGATCTTGCCATTCATACCGCCCAAGATGACGCTTTCGCGGTTTCAAGAGGCTGGACTGACCAACCCCACCTGGGACATGAGGAGGATACCCGAGACAGACGACCTCGGCTCTTGAGGCGTGGTTCCCCAAGGAGGCGGAGATTTGGAACCAGCCCACTTGGCAGCTGGGCGAAGAAAGACCAGGAGACTGATGAGAATCCTAAAGAGTGCTACGACACCACGGGCAGATCCAGAGAAAGAGAGGGAACCAGAAGTCTAATTGAGTAGTCCCATCATGAACAACTTGGCAGGAAAATATACTCACTGGGAACAGAATCTTGTTGTGTTGTTATTTTTGCGGGTCAGTTTTCCATGTCCACATGGACAATCTTGGGAGGGTAAAATGTCCTGCATGTTGCAGATGAAAGTTCAGCGTGCCAATGTATTGATGAACGATGATGAACATGTTTTCAGTTGTCTCCCAGAAGATTTTATTTTTCGATGTTCATCTCGCACGAAGGTTCCTGTCAGCTCTGACCTTCTCCAATCTGACAATGCCAACCTTGGTGCTGCCCCAGGCGCTCTCAACACCTAGAGACCAGGGATTGTCGGGCCACAGATTTGCGGTTCATGCGTCTCGAACTAAGGGTAGTCTGAACCATTGGATACCGGAGATTGGTCACCCCAACCAAGCTGCAGTGAAATCAGTCTGGTAACTTGATATGGTTCCGAGGTTCTTTGGCGTTTTGAGAGTAGAGATTTGAGGTGGCCATCAGCTGAAGCAGACTTTGCATTGCCAACTAGGTGACACATATGACACTGCAACTCGAACTGCATGTGCAATGCCACCGCAGGTGGCGCAGCTCTCAAAGTCTGGCCTCAACAAGCTTTTCATGGCTCTCACCGGCATCTCGTTGCTGCAGAAGGCTGGGTTGAAGACGGCCTTGTGTTGAAGACGGTTGTCGAATGATTGGATCGGAGAGGATCCTGAGAGGAACTCCTTCAGGATGGTTGTTGCGGGCCAGAAGAATGAGATAGAAATTTTATGGAACTTCTAATGTCATGCTTCTTTCACTGTGCATACCCCAGTCATGATGACAGGTCAGATCTCTACCAACCCCATTTGTTGCGCGTCCCGCCGCTCGTCCCACTTGCAGATCTGTCCGGTGTCCCACGGCGGCAGAGGTCTCCTACTCTGAGACCGCACGCTTCCACAGCCATTTCGAACATCCGGTGGATGGGAAGGCCGGACAGTGCCCAGATCATGTTTGGTCTTTTGGGGTGAGGGACGGTTAGTGTTTAAGCTCGATGTCTTCCCCAACTGACATTGGACTCCAGTGACATGTTATGTTTTCCCTGGACACTGGATTTGTTATGGGACTGGCTCCATTTAGGGTTGCAGCACACTTAGTGGGCTGTTGTCGGGAGTCGACGATTTCCTAGAAGATGCCTGTTATTCAGATCGCTTCGGAGCGGCGGTTTCCACAGATGCTCCAGTTCCCGCAGGATTACAAGTATCTATGGCCCGTTCAACGCGTAATCCAATTCCTTGGTTGCATAGCCAGCGTTCCTGCCAGACCATGCCATGAGGGTCTAGAGGATTTGCCGAAATCCTTGCAGGTGATGCATCCCTTGATCTGGAACCTCACGCGCTTCTCGGATTTTTTGATCCCCCGAAATGAGTCGAATGGACCTGCACAGAGTGGCCAAGCTGGTTCTGAAACAAAACAACACACAGAGAGAACAAAAAGAAACCTAATAGCGATGGCACATTTAAATCAAAAGCCTTTTCTAGACATTTACAGTTTAGCACGGCATACACATCACAGGGAGAGAAAGCTTCGAGTCGACTTGTTTAGTGGACGAACCTCTCTACCCACTCTACCACTATCAAAGCATTGTGCAAAGGAACACTTTTTCATTTATCACGGTAGCACTCCACTTGAATTTGTGGAAGGTCCAGGCATCTGACAGGCGTCGTTTTTGCCAAGGCTTACTCCGAGAAAAGACCTGGTAATGTTAAATGCCTGAAGGTCATAGCATGGCTGATTGCATTGGGTCGTAGCATCCAATCAGCTGATGGTCCATTGTTCATGCAAATCATTTGGGCCATTTGGAAGCTGCATCTCCTGCTTGGTATAGTGACGCATGGCTCCAATCATTATCCACTGTTGCTGAGACCCTCGCAAATCATCAAATGCACAAGCCTGGCCATGTAGCCCCCAGAGAATTCTTCCAATCCCGCGCACATGGGACAGAAGTCAATCAATCACTGTTCATTCAATCACTGTCCAGAGCCCACCTCCCAAATCGCCAAGCGTCGCAACAAAGCGTTGCCAACGGCAGTACCGACTCCGTATCTACGCCGAAGGTATACAAAATAACTTTACAAGAAAGAAAAGAGATAAAAAGAGCAAACCTACTAGCAATGGCCTCCATCCTAAAAGCGATGACCTCCAACCTACAAGCGACTCCGTACCGACTTCGGTTTGTGCCGAAGGTTTCCATCCCTTCTGGGCCTTGATGGAAATGACCATGGGCATTGTCGCCGTGCGCCACGTCATGCTCGACACGGAAGAGGCACCAAGAAAGCGAACGAACGGAACGCGGCTATGGTTCTTCTGTTGCAGAGGTCACCCCCACCCACTCTGGCTTCTTCTCCAAGTTACCGTGCAAAAAGGTCCAGGAACATCAAGAAAACCGTCTTTGCTGGTCACATCTCCAAAACACCAAGCTAAAACAAGCCAAACTGTTTGTTGCTTTCTTTCGTGTTGAATTGGGGGTCCAACACAACTCTAACCACTCCAATGACTGTCCAGTCATTGGGTCTCCCCCAACTCGGAGCTCGGTGAACCGCTGAGAGGACAAGAAGAAGAAGAAGCGTCCTTGCTCCTAGTAAAGATGCCCTTTGTTCCCAGTAGCGTCCTTGTTCCTAGTAGCGATGCCCTTTGTTCCTAGTAACGTTCTTGCTCCTAGTAGCGCTGCCAAGAGCCCCTAGAGAGGACAAGAAGAAGCAGCCGATGAACCCTTTGTGGCTCTTCGTCGCTGCCTACTCCTCGCTGCTGCTTCGTCTCACACAGCCGCTTGACAAAGGTGTTTGTTGTTTAGGAGCTCATGGCGAGAGGTCTCTCAGGGTGACAGATTCCCGGGTTGTTCAGCTATGGGCTCGTTGATTTCCCCTTAGCTCGATGCTTCTCGATTCCAATTCTACATATTCACCCTAAAGTTCACAGGCGAGGCCGCGAGCCCTGGGCTTTGAGTGGCTTAGCTTTGTCGTTTCCGACTCTCCGGTTCCGGCTCCGCGGTTGCCGTTGGCAAGCCCTTGACTTCAATGATGGCATTGAAGTTGGTGAGGTTTGACTTCAATGATGCCATCATTCGCGGTGTGCTCTTCGTGCCCCTCTTCACGAAGTTCCTGAAGGCATAGTGTTCCAATCTTAGGGCCTCCACCTAATAGCAATGGAACCTAATCGAGATGGCCTCCGCCCTACAAGCGATGGCCTCCAACCTAGTAGAAGCCGAAAGGGCCCAGAGAATTCAGGAGAATTCACCCGGTTTAGATCTGGGATCTGAGCCGTGCTTGTTCGTCAAGTCAGCTTCCGGCATTCGCTGGCAGACATGGCAGCCAGAAAGGATTTACGGCATGATTTGTTGTGTACCCTAGCCTCCTTGTTCCTAGTAGCGATGCCAGGAGCCCCTGGTAGCTTCTTGTTCACCCAGAGTCAGACAAGGCTTCATAGTTCTTTCCCTCATGATGGGATCTAACACGACGTTTCTGCAGCGCGTTGAGCCTTCAAAGAGGGACCTAAGCAACGTGACCAGCGAATAAATCAAAGGACGTCTTTGTCAATGCGTTCTTATTTCGCCGGTGAAACATCTTGAAACAGAAGGTTGGAGGCCATCGCTACTAGGATGGAGGCCCATCGCTATTCGATGTCCATGTTTCATCTCTTTTCTTTCTCTTGTTACTAGTAGCTCTTTTCTTTGGAACCTCTTCGTTTTTGACAGCACCACGGAGCACCACGGAGTACGCTCCACCGCGAGAGGCCATGCACCGGGACGCCCTGAGCAGCTCCCCCTCGGCGATCACCCAGTTCTTTGGGTCCAAGCCGATGGCCTCTTAGACCTCAAAGGAAAAAGGTAGGTCAGTCGGTCGGTCTCGTAGGTAAGGCAATGAGTTAGTTGAATGTGTCGGATGTCGCAGATATGAAGACCTTTTAGTACTCCACATGACGTGACGAGTCTCTGGAGTACTTGAGCCGGATACAACAATGTCTGTTTAAAGAGGCGTCTCCTAGAAGCAGACCAAGCTCGAAAGAAAAAGTATCCTTCGGGTTCTTCGGTTGGGACTAGGGGCAGGAGGGTGCTGAGACTGGGAGCCCAAAAGAAAGCGTGGGAAGCTGCGAAATCTAAGATGAGGCTCGAAGAAGCCAGTCAGCGCACAAGAACTTGGACGTTTTGCTCTTTTGCGTGGCAGTTCGATGGATGTGCAAAGCTCATCCTCGCACCGATCCGGTGGTCACTTTCGTTTTGGTTCGCCTTGAGGCCACACTGGGCTCCCTGGCCTTTCCCATGTTCATTGTGCATGGGCCCATTGGTCAGATCTTCTACAAGAAGGCGAATGAACTGGAGCAACGAACGGGAAAGTTCCTAGTAGCTTCTTGTTACTAGTAGTAAGAATGCTCCTAGTAGCGATGCCAGGAGCCCCTAGTAGCGTCCTTGCTCCTAGTAGCGATGCCCTTTGTTTCTAGTAGCTTCTTGCGCCTAGTGCGCAAAGAACTGTTGAGTCAAGACTTGGGAAGACTGGTAGAAACGATTGGCACGTTCCAGTTAAACTGCACTGATGGGCTGGGACTAGGATTGGTCATGTGACTCCACCGGTGAAGATGGAACTGTACCTGCGCAGGAGAATGAACTCCCAACGATAGCCACCCATCAAAATGGTGATCGCAAGCAGGAGAGTCAATTAGACCACAGGTCCAAAATTCCCATCCCCTGGTCATCCATAGCTGCCCCAGCCTCCAATGGTCCTTTGCCAGACCATCTTCAGCTAACCGCTTCGGTGGGGGGAAGAACACCAAAGCCGTCCATCACCGATCTCCACAGATGCCGTCCATCCAGGTGATCGCCAAGAAGCTCTGGGGGAAGCCCATGCCGCACAGCTTCTTCCCCGCCTATTTGGCCATTTGCTTGGGCCTCTCGGTGATGCATCCAAACAGACACGACACGACTCCGCGAGAAACACCACGTTCCGGGAGGTGGTGGGGACCCAGCAGCACAACTGTCCAAAGTGCAGAAGTGAAGCGCGCAAAATGAATGCAAGAGTCAAAAAAGGCCACTGGCTTTCAGGAGAATGGCAATTGGAACCTGACTTGTTCTGTTACGAGATCTATTCTTGCCGAGAAACATGCTCCTGGACATGGACCTGGAGCTTGTGGGCCAATGTTGATCTTTCAATCAGACAAACCACACAAATACCAGCAATGGTTCTTATTTGTGTTCCCCTGGTGATTTTCTTTGCGCAGGTGTGCTGGTCCCTTTAGTTGGAATCTGTGCCAGCACCTGTGGAGCTTTGAATCAGGACTTCACACCATCAGTGCCCATTCAAGGTCTAGATAGCCCCATCCAAGAACAAGGAGAAAGATTGGTCTAGAGAATGAAAGAAAGTAAAGTCAAGACAAGTTGAACTACTGTTGTTTGTTTTTGAAAAGAAGAACTGATTACTGAGCGGGTTGTTTCCAAAGACACTTCGAGGTTTGAGCCACCTGGTGAACGAGTACTTCGTGAAGAGCAAGAAGGTGGCGGCCATTGGCGGTCAGGTTGCACAGACCTTGGCGAATTGGACCCAGGGCATTTTACGAGACAGCGCCTGAGGCGAGAAGTCGAGATTTTGCTGAAAGATCACAGGAAAATGCTGACAGATCAGTTGTGGAACGAACAGGAATTGCAACTAAAAGGTTTTGTAAAGTTGAAGGATGAGAAGACTTAAAAAGAGATCAGGAAAGAAGAGGCAGGACTTCAGGAAGATATGGCGTGATGCTTCCTGGGATTTTTCAGTTTTGCCGGTCTATGACCGTGGCATTGCCGAAAACACAAGAGGAACAACTGGCCAGGGAAGGCTGTGTTGATGCTCAAGAGCAGTGCAAGATTTATCAAAATCGGACTGGGTGTCAGGATCTTGGGAATGAAAGGAAGATGTCAAAATCCGAAGGGTTTTTTTCAAAACTGATCGCCTGTGTTGAACCCTTCTTCTTGTCTGTTGGAGAAGGCTTCCAGGATCACCGGTCGTCCGCGGTCGATGGCCCAGTCGATCTCTTCATGTACAGAGCTCGGAGGTGGCGAGAGAGCCGATGGCTCGGCTCGCACGAACCCGAGGTTCGCTCGAAAAAAGGGCGGCTCCGTGTTGTTGGGGTTCTGGCAGGCTGATAGGCAGTTCAAGTGTTTGTGAAACAATGTGTTTGTTTCAAGGATGTCAAGGTGGAAAAGGCAGACATCACATGGATCTTGAGGTTCGATACCAGGAACGAACCTAGACATCAATGAGTGTTCGGTTGGACATCCCCTTGCCTTCATCCCATCCCAGGCATCTCAGTGGAAGTTCTCCACCCTGTTCACCCTGTACCCATCAAATCAGTACAACATATCAATGTGCCAAGAAATCAGGGAGTGTCCGATTTGCCTGGGCGTACTTGCCTTTGTTGATCCTGCTTGGCTAATCAGTTAGCACCTCCCAGTAGCTTTGGCTGGTGTGCCAAAAATTATAGAGACAATTAATCAGTGTGTTTTGATTCCAAGTAGATCATGAGTTACAGGAAAGGCAAAAAAGAAATGCCCAGAAGGATCGCCCACCTGACCAAGGCATGTGCCTCGATGTGGATGCTGCCAGCAACAGCCTGGGGCCTCTGGTCGGTCCAAAAACAAGAGGAAAAGGGGTTCCTTTACACATGTTCCTAGTAGCGTCCTTGTTCCTAGTAAGGCCAGGAGCCCCTAGTAGCGTCCTTGCTCCTAGTAGCGATGCCAGGACCCCCCAAGTAGCTTCTTGTTCCTAGTAACGATGCTTTGTCTACTTTTCAGAAGAGTACTTTTCAGAAGAGTATGGCTTGAGTCAAACCGATTCCAAACAACCGTTGGTTGAGTTTTGTCACTGAACCGGGCAAAGAATCCCTGCTAACATTTCGCAGGATTTTGCGCTCACACTGCACAAACACCACCCCCACTCTGAAAAGATACAACCTTCATGGTAGAGTTGCTTTGTCCAACCCAGACGGCCGCCCGTGTGATCGGTCTTTTTTCGTTGGACATTGCTCGTAGACTTGCAACGGTTGTTGATTTGAAAGGCCAAGAACTGTCAGATAATTCTTCCTGGTTTCGTTTACGAGCTTTTGGACGCTTCTCATCAATTAGTTGCAACCCACCGGTGTGCTTCTGTTTGAACCTTGGGATAATGATGTGTGTTTGATGGCTGTTGCTTTTCTTCTTCGCTACGAACGGAGCATGGACGCTACGAACGGGGCTCTTCGACACAGGAGTTGGTTCCAAGGCTTTGGGATCTTCGACACCGAAGGCTACGGGGTCTTCATGCTCTCCTTCGAGACCCATGAGGCTGGTCGGGCTGGTGCTGATGATCCTGGATTAACCAGTAGCAAGAATGCTAGCTAGCAGTCCATCCTTGCTCCTTGTAGTACGGCCAGGAGCAGCATGGCAAAGAATCATCCAAGTGAGATGTCCAGAGTTCCGAGGATTTATCTACTTGAGCCAATCTTTTCACTCTTCAGAGCATCCACGAAGACTTCGTTTCACCCGACCACCGTACACGGCCACACTGGGGCCAGATCACTTTGCTGGCCGGCATGGGACTTGGCCCGCAGGGATGGATGGTGGAGGGGCTTAGGTCCTACCTGCAATGTGGGTATGTTTTTGAAAGCAAAGAACCACAGAATGGAAGATGTTATTCTTGCTACCATTTGCCAAGGAGCTTGAGTAGTACAGCGGCATATTGCAGTACTTAGCAACAGGATGCACTCAAGGTGTTTTTGAAAGCTCAGCAGTAGGGCAAGTTGACTTCTGGACAGGTTCGTGGATTAAGCATGTGAACAGGCTGACAAGAGTAGCTCTTCAGTCTTGTTTTTTTTGGATGAACACCACTTGGCGGGTTGCCCCAGGTGGGAACTGAATGAAAAAACATGCTGTTCCCAATTGCTTGAGTCGATGGGAAGAATCTCCTCAATATCATGGCCGCTGACTCAGGAGATCTCAGACATTGGGGCAGCAAAGATGGTGTAGGCAAGAAAGACACTGCAGGGCTGGTGTGACAAAAAGAGTTGGCCTTTGTGCAACTAACAGGGTCATCTGGCATTTGGATGTATTGCAACTGAAACCCAGTCCTGAAGCACCATCTAACCTCTCGCTCGTGGGGTAGCAAAGGGCAGCCATTGAATGAGGGACCATGTAGCAGGCTGTGATGGGAGTGAGTGATGACATTGTGATCCCAGAAGGATTCACAGCGGTGTCAGGCTGGACTCTCGTGCTGCAGCATCCCATCTGAAAGGTTTGCTCATTAGAAACAATGTTCGCTACTAGGAACAAGTGCATCGCTTCTAGTAACAAGTGCCTTACTAGTAGTAACACGGACAAGTCAGTCCGGACTCTTGAACACGAAAACAATTCTGAAAGTTTTGCTTAGTCTAAGCAGCATTCCAACTAAATTCTTCTTACTACTAGTAAGGCACTTGTTACTAGAAGCGACGCACTTGTTCCTAGTAGCTTATTGTTACTACTAGCGTTTATGGCAGATTGCCCTATGATTATTACAACAGGTACACCAACTTTTCAGTTGGTGAATGGCAGGCTTGGAGAACATGAAGGTCTCCTCATAGCCATGAAGATAGAACGCCATCGCACCAGCCCTCCCCAAGCAACCTTTGGGATGAGGGTCTATGGAGCCACAGGTATGGGTCAGTCAACTTTACATGGTTACCAGTATGGTGACTCACCAGCCCAATCCCATGCCCCTATGTGGAGCATCGAAAAAGTTGTTTGTGCCATCGCAGGCCATTAGTTGCATTGTCCAAAATCTCACCCCAAATTCAGCTCGCATTCTGAACACTTTCAGTTGAACTAGAGTAGAGAATGTGTTTTGAATGTGTTGTATGTGTTTGAAGGGGAGTGGGGTGTAAAAACCGTTGCCATCCATCCCGCATGCGTCGCGCCTGCGCACGTTGCTGGAGCAGGTCAGCTGGCGCGCTTTTGGCACCTGAAACGGCCAGTGGTGAACGACAGGTGCGTCCAGAAAATCGATGCTCACATCGTTCTGTCCGATACAACTACTTATTGAGTCACAACTTAAGTTATTGAACTACAGGTTATAGCTTGTAGTTTCGATACTAGACTTAGCATGGGCTGTGCTCTTTTTGGATGAACGTCCAGGTGGAAACGACAGGGATGCAGCAGCCCTGGAACCAAACCGAGATGTGACTGATGTTCAAAGCCAATCATGCAGGTGGGCTACAAACATGATTTGCAGGTCAGGAAGCCAATCCCCAACAAAAACTGGTGACCTGCAACAGACTCTTAGAAACAAGAAGCTACGAACGGGGCTCCTGGCATCGCTACGCACGGAGCGATCGGACGCTACGAACGGGGCTAGGGTGCTGCCCATCGGTGAAAGGCCGCTGGGCGTTTCGTCACAGGTACCTCTTCATGCGCACCGAAGGGCCTGCCATTTACCAATGGCGGCAGTGTGGAGCCTCGGTCGGCAACCCAACCTCGGTCTAGGGAGTGAGTGGAGGAGATATCGAAGTAATACAAGAAAGATAGGGAAGGAAGAAAGGAACGAAAAAGAAAGGTCTACAGTCTACAGAAAGAACACAACGAAGGAAAAGACCTTTTGAAAGAATAAGGAAAACAAAATGTCAGCAGAAAGAGTCATGAATTCCATAACGAGGTTCGGTAGGGTGCCATGGATTTCACTGAAAATGGATCTCTTGAGCCAGTCGGTGCTTTATTTTATCCTTGAATGCATTTTAAAAAAAGCAGCATGCTTTGGATCTTGGCAAGAGGCAGGCAAAGAACCTGAAGAACCGTTTCACAAACGACTGGCTTTTCACAGAGCAAAGTGCGATGGCCACGAAAGCGACTGGTTGGCTTTTCTATCCAGGTGCCGATTGGATCTGAAGACCTTAGAAGTGAACAGTGCCCTTTGGCTCAGTTTTGCTTCGCGCGGGAGTCTGGGAGGTTTCTGGAATGGTGCCAGTGGGCTGTTGTCATGGCCTGTTTGGATTGGTTTCAGAGAAGAATTGGTGGTTTCTTAAAATGGGAATGCCTGAGAAGTGCTGGTGGTCGAAACAAACCCTTCGTCGTGTCCTTGTGTCCATCCATATCTAATCGTTCATGGAGGATGTACTCAAACAGCAAAGGCATGCCCGATGTTTGATATCCAAACACTTCCTTTAGCCATTTTGTCAAATGGGTCTTCTCCTTCCAAAACCCAGGCACTTACCCATGTAGACAGTATCCAAGTGGTATTTGCTTCATGAACGGGCCTTTTGTACGGCCAAGTACGTGGCATTGAGGTACTTGGAAAGGACAAAATTGATTTCAGAAGACTGTAGACTCCCTACTTTGACTGGCGAATTTTGAGATGTTCTTCTTTCCAAAACCGTCCCTGTCCAGGTGATCTTCGAAGGTGTCGATCACAACGGCCTGCTGACCTACTGTGCCTCCGAGCGTGAGGCAGAACAGGGGCGCAACGCACGCATGCGTATTACAACCGGAGGAAGAGGAATGTTTTCTGTTCAAACCATGTCCTACTATATAATTCTGTTGCGCCCACTCAGGCTCAAAGGTTCTCAGCTTAGAGTGTTCAGATACACCAAAACATGCAGCCAAGCGTTTTTCCGAGAGCTGCGCTGCAAGTCAGCTCCTGCATAGAACACCGGTAGGGTCCACCGACACATGGGCAAAGTCGTGCTTTTGGTACACCGAGATTCTTCGCGGTCATGGTTAGAGTGGCTGGAGTGGTTCTTTTCACGCCTGTGATTGTTCCCAAAGAGTGGAATAGGATGAGATTCCAAAGAACCCAGCGCAAAATAGATCTTTTTCATGGACTACGCACCAATCAAAAACATACCTTTTGCAACATGCATCTCACTTCTACGTCAGGTCTAATGTCTGGTGACCTTTGTAGGTGGCGGAACCGCCTCCGCATCACGGCGTGTTTCGCCGTGTGCAGCTGTTGCAGGTCTATGTGGTGCAGTACGTGGGTCAGGCGACGGCGACGGTGCTACCGTGTAGAAGACAAAGCTATTTTTGGGCGAAGCTTTTTAGGCACTTGTTACTACTAGCGATGCAGTTGTTACTAACTGTTCATGGGAATGTGAAATTGGTGTCTTGTTTTGAGGAACTGACCTGATTTGTCACTGTTGATGATTGGCGCAATTCACTTCTCCGGTTGCAAAGGAGATCTTGATTGGGAGTCGTAATTTTTGTGAAACACCCAAATAGCTGGTACATGGATGTTCAGCCCAACCCCCTACTGGTACCACTGGTTGATCCATCTTCAAAGCATCAGTCAGATTGGAGAACCACCCTACTGCCGGATCACTTCCTCCTAAGATCAGATCCTCCAAAAAGAAACAAGAAACCTTCAACTGATTGGTATTTCTGATTCATCTTAGGAGCAAGGACGCTATTAGTTTTACCAAGCTCAGGAGCAGCTTCAACAACTGGAAAAACAGCTGGAGGAGTTGGACCCCTCCAAGTTCACTGAGGTGAAAAAAATTGTAAACGATGGATGCTGGGACATCTTGAGGTTGTTTGTTGGTTGTTATGGTTTTTATGTTGATGTTCAATGTTTCATCTTTACCTTGAATGTTTTATGATTGTGGGACAATGTTGCCTCGAACTTTCACGTCATTGTTTGGTTTGAGTGAGGGGATGTAGGTATTGCAATTGCCGATTTGATGAGGCTTTGTTCTCCAGGATAGATAACGCAAACAGGCGCAAGCACCATGAGGCACCCATTCTCACGCGGACAGCGCAATGCCATTGTCCGAGCCGATGAAAGCGGCTATAGTGTTGGCTATGGCTACACTCTTCCTCGCACTCGTCCTCGCAAGTGTCATCTCAAGTGGCTTAGGAACCCTCACCAGTGCCGTGAAGGCAGAAGCAATCGGAACCTACCTACACTGGCTTCGGAGGCTTCGCAGGAGGCATCTTCGAGGACACACTTGACTTGAACTGAAATGGAGTGAGTCGTTTGCGTCACCGTCATGCTCTAGGATAGCTCGTGCTTGAACCCACTCATGCCGCCTTGCAGGACATTCTTCGCGTTGTATTGGCCACCGCAAGCTCGTTGATGAATCACCTGCCACTGCTTGCGGGTGCACCTGCCTTTACACTTAGCCTACCTTCATGAGGCTGGAGAGTTGCAAAACGTGGCTTCTCAACCCAAAGCTGTCCCCACCCGTCGGGTTGTCATCCACCAACTTTTTGCGACAGGCTCAGCGAACACAACAAAGCTCAAGACATGAGGGTTAAGAAGCCCCATTTCACCGCTGTAGCTTCAGCGTGCACCTTGCTATCCGCCGCCAGTACAGACAGCGGATGCCAGAGACAGACATACTGATGGGGAAAGATGCTCGCAAACAAAGTGCAAAAGGCAATAGGAGAGGACTTAAAGTCACCTTTGAACCCTTGACCCATTTGAACGTTGCGCATTCCTTTGCCATGTTCATGGTCATCATCGTCATCCTCTCCCTTGACCTTTTTTGTCGTCGGGATGCCACAAGTGAATTGCTGAAGGACTAGCAAGAGAAGTACTCTCCGGATGCTGCGACGCTTTGCGCCCCCTTCGAAGCACCATAAGCAACCAAAAGAGGTGAGAAGCATCAAAGAGAGCATACCACTAACCACACTATTGCCTGTAAAAGAAGTATGAAAGACCCGACACCAGGGGTCATGACCGTATACAGGCAAGCTGCCTGCATCCAGTTGGTTCCTCCGTGCTGGCTCAAAGATCGTGTTTTGTCACTCAGGGGGCACAGCTGCTGGTCGCTTCGTTGGAGGAAGATCACGAGGCACTGTCGACCATCACTGTATAGCTTCTCCTGCACCACTTGAGATTCCCTCCCCCTGCGCTTGGGATGACATGTTCGGAATCGGGGAGCTTTAGGTAACGAGTAGACGACTGGAGTTTCCGGTCTCCAAGGTATTGGGCATGTCGGAAAGGTCCTAGTAGCTTCTTCTTTCAGCTCCAATTAGATTCTAATTAGATCTTTAAAATGTTAATTCTAATTTCAATTCCAATTCCTATTTCTAATAGCTTCTTGTTCCTAGTAGTATGGCCAGGAGCTCCTAGTAGCATCCTTGCTCCTAGTAGCGATGCCCTTTGCCCCCAATTGCAATTGAAGTTTGCTGATTCTTCTCACAAATATGTCCGTGGTCGACAGACATTGCTGAAGGGCCTCTCTGTGATTGCTAATGTTCATTGAGCGTTCATATGATGTTTTGGTGGTTTGCAGTTGTTTTTGCGTTGGTTTGCAAATTGCATCGAAGCACAAAAATTAACCTGGCTTCGAGGCCTGACCGTCACAGGTCCCACAGCACCAAAATGCAACGTTGATGGGTTGGTAGAGTAGGAGCAACGATGCTACTAGGGGCTCCTAGCATCGCTACTAGGAACAAGAAGCTACTAGGAGCAAAGGGCATCGCTACTAGGAGCAAGAATGCTAAGAGATGCTACTAGGATAGCACATGATACAATTTCTTTTCACCTTTCCCTCGCTCGTCGGTGTAGAGGTGCAGCTGGCGCATCAGCAGTTCACCGGGATTGACCTCGCGGAGCCGGTCTCCAGCGTGGCTTTCCGGCTGCGCTGCAAAGCCAAGCTCCATGTCGACCGGAGGAGCGGGGAGGCCGCTACGAACGGAGCAAAGGGCATCGCTACTAGGAGCGATCAGACGCTACTAGGGGTTCCTGGCCCTACTACTAGAAACAAGAAGCTATTAGAAACAAGAAGTAGTATTTGAATTTAAATTACAATTTAGTTAATGTTCCACCAGGGATGGGGGGAATCGGCGCAAGCCGGAGGAGCAGCATGGCGGACGGACAGAACTGAACATGTTTTTGCTCAGTTCCATGGGAAACTCGCACTTTGCGTTTCAACGTTTCTTCTCACTTCTTTCGTGGTTGCGTTTGCTTTGTATGCAGTCTCTTCTTTTACACCTAGCGGGAGCAGAGAAAACTTTTTGGAATTAAAAAATCCTACACGAGCGAAATCCGAAATGCATTTGTTATAATAACAAGAAGCTACCTACTAGGAGCAAGGCACCTTACTACTAGTAGCAAGAAGCTACTAGGGGCGCTCCTGGCATTACCACTAGTAACAAGAAGCTACTAGTAACAAGTGCATCGCTACTAGTAACAAGGGCATCGCTACTATAGGAGCTATTAGGGGCTCCTGGCCTTACTACTAGTAACAAGGCACCTTACTAATCTTTCCCGAATTCTCCCGACTGAAGCTGCCCCCCCTTCCGCAGGATCCTCTTGGCCCGTTCCGAGCACTTCCGGAAGCTCCTCATGGCGGACCAGGCATTGAGTTACTACTAGGAGCAAGGATGCTACTAGTAGCTGCTTGTGACTAGTAGTAATGCCAGGAGCGCCCCTAGTAGCTTCTTGCTCCTAGTAGCGATGCCCTTTGTTGCTAGTAGCTTCTTTCCCATGTTTGGATAGGAAGGACAAGGCCTTCCACAGCTATGGGGAGTGTAGATTGAAGGAATTTTGTGGTAGTGAAGGTTCGCAGAAGTTCGCCACTCTACTAGGTACTGATTGGTTCCAGAGATAGGAGCAAGGGGGCCAAACAATTTCATTTGGGTAATGAGTTCGACAGAGTATCCCACCCCATTCATTGCTTCGTTACTTTGGCAGGCGCCCCTAGTAGCGACCTTGCTCCTAGTAGCGATGCCCTTTGCTCCTAGTAGCGTCCTTGCTCCAACCCCCCCGCCGCGCGCGCGCGCGTGCGTGGAGCGAGAAGGTCCTAGTACCTTCTTCTTTCAATTTGAACTAAATTCGACTTTCATTTCTAATTCTTGTTTCTAATAGCTTCTTGTTACTAGTAGTAAGGCCAGGAACCCCTAGTAAGCGTCCTTGCTCCTAGTAGCGTGCGCGATTGACTCGACGACTCCCCAGACGATGACCGAGATCGATCTCACTGGTGAAGCCGCAGCGGAGTCTTGGGCCAGACTTAGCCGTCCAGATCCCCGTTCCAACCGCTGGTTGGTTACAAAAGGAGTTAAAAGTGTTTGGGCCCGCTGTAATAGTAAGGTCCCTTTAAAGGGTTCCAAACATTTCTGTGTTCTCTCTTTTCCTCTCGAAAGTCCTTTGTTTCATTCGCCTGACAAAGTGAAATGGTTGAAAGACAGGGGGACATGCGATCCAGCAAGATATGTGGGTTTGGAAGTCCAGAAGGGCATGGTAGACCCCTCGATGTTGTGTAGATTCCTTTGCTAGTAATTACAATTAAATTCTTATTGTTACTACTAGTAAGGCACTTGTTACTAGTAGCGATGCACCTGTTACTACAATAGTTGGATACACGCGATGTTTTCCATCAACAGCACTGGTCTGGTCAAGGCTAAGGACCCAATGGGTCACAGAATAACAGCAGAACAGGCAAGTGTGTGATTTCTCCTGCCAGCTAACTTGGGACCATGTTCTTCAAGAAGTCACTATATACATGTCTTCTTTTCCTGGCAACTGACATCGTTTTGTCAACCTATTTGAAGGTCCGCCCCTCCTCAAATGTGACTCAAGACCTCCGAATCCAAACATGGCTCCCACCCAAGCCATTCAACCGGGGTGCCACTGATTCTTCGACAAATTTCCCCATATTTCGGTGCACACCGTTTTGGAAGTTGGTTTGGTCGACCAAGGATGTGAAGTCCTTCACCGTGCTCTTGCGGTTCCTGATGACGGACCGATGGGTGTGGACTCCCAGAGAGCTGACTTCGACTGGCTACAGCGGCTACCGACCCAGCGCCATTTCAAGTGATCTTAGGAGCAAAACAGGACGGATTGGACAAAAAGCTACTAGGGGCTCCTGGCCTTACTACTAGGAGCAAGGACGCTACTAGGGGCTCCTGGCATCGCTACTAGGAGCATCCTTACTACTAGTATCAAGAAGCTACCAGGTGGAGGAGTGAAATGTTCACATCAGTAGATTCCTTTGCTAGTAATTACAATTAAATTCTTCTTGTTACTAGTAAGGCACTTGTTACTACTAGCGTGGCACTTGTTACTAGTAGCTTCTTGTTACTACTAGTAAGGCACTTGTTACTAGCGATGCACCTGTTCCTACCCGAAACCTCACCGAGGACGCCGCCTCGGTGGAGCCGGAGTTGGCGTTCAACGTCCGCGACCTGGCACAAAGCTTCGGGCTGCCCAGGCGACGGGGGCGGACGTCGAGGGCGACCAGCGAGGCTGAAGGAGTTGTTTTTCACACAAAAGCTTCTTGCTCCGTTCGTAGCGATGCCCTTGTTACTAGTAGCTTTTTGTTCCTAGTAGTAAGGCCAGGAGCTACTAGTAGCGTCCTTGCTCCTAGTAGCAATATTGGACCGCACATGATCATGCATCGGACGCAGATTTCAGGTCGTAGTGAAACGGCACCTTCAAATTCCTGAAAGCTGGAACTGAACCAAGGGCTATCCCAAAACCATGAGTGAACCCCCACCACTGTATTGCCGTGGCAGAAGGTTTGAAGATCCAAAACTCAAACATGTGCGATTTTGCAACGGAGTTCAAGAGTTTCACTTCTTTGTTTTTGGTGTCGGGTTCCCCGAGAGTTCAAGATCTTCACTCGAACGTCAATCGCCCGTGAGGCTGATGGCTTTCGCAGAAGGCCACCTCCAACAGCAGCTCTCCGGCGAGACGGTGCGGTAGCTCTTGGACCGACGGCATTCCACAGACGCAACACGACGCAGCAAGTGGGACTGTTTTGAGTCCTGCTTGTGGCAGGAGTTGCAACAAGAGCTGTGAAACTGTCTGTTGGAAAAACCATAGTGACTTCGTGTGTTTTTCCGTGTTTTTTCAGTGTTTCAATTGGTTTTTCTCCACTGCGTTTTCTTCGAGGTGAAAAACATTGTCTCCACCGAAAGACGTTCGCGTTGACCGCAGTAAGTCTTTGGAGCGACCTGACGAAAAGGTGCTGAAGATCCTGGGCCGTGTCATCGGCTCTGCAACACCCTTAGAGAAGGCACCGGGGACGGGGCGGTAGGCCGCAGCAGGCCTGAGAGTGGTAGGGAGCTTCCTTGAAGAAGCGCTGTGACAACTATTCATACCGAGACCTTACCTTCCTTTCAGGTTCCAAGATGTCGCAAGAGCTTCCTCAGCACCAAAACAGCTCAGTTTAGCCATGGGATGTCCCACCTCAGGCTTTCGGCTTGAAGGATGCCCAATGAAATGCAACAAAAGAAGCCAAAAGAGCCTAAGATAGAACGGAACAGGTCACCTTTCCAACAGGAGATCCTCAGCAACTTGTTTCCTTTGGGTTCGGAGTGTTCCGTGCTCTTTGGACATCGATGGATGAAGAGAACCCCTCGCAAGACCAAGAAACAAGCCTCTCTAACATTTAGGGTCGTAAGATAAGTCCTTGGACTTATTTCCAATCCCAGTGACTGGGAAAGTTGGCCAATGACAAAGTCAAAGGTTCCAGCAAACGAGCTGATCTCTTTATTTATGGGTGTCTTAGAGTCAGATTGATGAGCCAAACAAAAGGCAAAACAAAGATGTCGCTCCAAATGACATACCACAGTCAAAGACCGGTATAGAGCGAAAACCACTCGAAACATCTTCCCCATCCCCTTCTACATCGTCCCATCATCGTAGATAGCCCTTGGACCATGTGTGTACAAGACATTGAAAAGACCCGTGTATCTCGGCGAATGCCCGTGCACACTCCTAAAGACACACCCAAGAGCTTCCAACAGCTAAGGGCGTCGCTACTAGGAGCGATCGGACGCTACTAGGGGCTCCTGGCCTTACTACTAGGAGCAAGCTTTGCCATCTCCTGCTTTGCCGCCATGGGGAAGAAGCGGGCACCCACCTTAGCCCCTGGCGATGGCAGGTCGTTCTGGGGTCCGTGAAGGGTTGGGTGGATCTCGGCGGTTCACCGGAGAAAAGGTTCTTACATACAGATGCGAGTCAAAATCTAGATATGCCGCTACCACTACAGAGGTTGACTGGGGCACGTGACCCGCAGCCTACAGTGCTGAGCTTGGAATTTTGGGAGGTGAATGTATGACCTGTGGATTCTGTGGATTGCTAGTTACATCCTAAAAGCGA